ATGAAATGGGGGTTACTGCTTCCTATGTAAATTGATCTGCACCATAGAGTTGTGGACTTTATTACTAGTGAGCAGTTCCAGTGGCTTCAAACCCTGTGTATTCATGAGTGGCTAAAGGAATCCCCTAGATTATTAGCAAGAATCATGCACATTTCAGAGAGAACACTCAGCACTGGGACATGGAAACTTTGAAGAGCTCCAACAACTTTGGTCCTCCAACTGATCCAGGAAACTGAGGTAAGATGCCAACATTCTTTGAGCCAACTCAGAACTTCAGAGGGATGGAAGTCAAAGTATCTCTCTTAGACACCCCTCTGAATCCTCCTAATCAAATTTCTTGCACTTATTTTCCTAATTACAAATGTAATGGGCACTGCTCACCTCTTATTTGCATTTAGCTCTCTACTTATATTGTGCTGGATGTCAGGATGGTCTTCTGGTCATGTCATCAGCAGCTGAGATGGCATGCATTACATGAGCTCCCAAATGAGGAGCTCTTGCTTTTGTGCTAGACTTGAACCCAGGGATGTGAGAATCAAAGTCAATTTTCATTGGAAGGCTTTTTTTTCTCTTCTTTGCAGCTCAAAGACACTGGTACCGGAGTGTCTGCATTCCACAGTAATCCTGCTTCACACATAAGGAATACTTTTCTGATAGTGGAAAAAATCTGCTGAGTCCACTTCTGTAATTTTTTTACCTAAAATGGGGGCAGCACAAAAGGCAAGTGAAAAGGTGATGTGGTCCCCTGTTTCTGTGGTATCAAAACAGTGATGGTGTCTTGCTGAAACTCGTTGAGAGTGTCAATCTCAAATTTTAGCACTGGTGTAGCATATAAATGCAGTAAAATCATTCTCTGAGTACACACTATACTTTGTCTTTACAGGTGTTTGGCAAACTCAAAATGAATATATCAAGAGTATTCAGGATAAGAGTCTGAAACAAGAATGTGGGCTGCTGAAATGCACAGCAAGTTAAAACCTGGGAGAAAAGTGTGACAGAAGACTATTCCTGGCCTGAAGAGAAGGTAAAAATTCAAAGTATTAAGTTAAAAAAATGCAGAGAGAAGCATCCTTATCCTGTGTGCCAGATGGATCTTGGCTTCCTTGCTCAAACACTGAACACAGGTTTGGAAGAGCTCACACAAGTGCACAAGCAGAATTGGTAAGAGCAGAGCCACTAGAGTGTGATTTTTTTCATTATGGACTTACAGTCCTGAAAGCTTACATGGGGCTGGTTTCTGAAATCTAGAGGTGGTTCAATCTGTTCTGTTGAAAACTTGTCTTTATGCTCCCTGATGGCCTTTGTTCTGTTGGCATTTTAAACAAATGGAGCATTACAGACATTCCAAATGCAATTCCTAATGTATCCCTAGGTCTGCTTGGTGCAGTAGGTGGGGTCTGAGAAAGGACTCTCCTCAAGCTTTGAAAGTTAATGCAGTGATCTTTCAAATCATTACTGAAATTTAACATTAAAATGTTTTGCATTTCTTTCTAAAGTTGCAGGTTTACACCAATGCATTTTTCAACTTCTTTTCTTGTTTTTAATTGATGTGAAAAATCTGGTCATAAAATGCTGTGTGACTACAGGATGTCAGAATAAAAAAGCAGGTAAGGAAGTGTTTTAAACACCAGCAAAACTTCAATAATTTGCCGTTTCAGAGATAGATCTATATAAACAAAAATTTGTATAGTATTTAACTGGACCTCACTTGCTAATTAATAACTTTGTATGTGTAACCTTCACAATTACAATTTTAAAGACAGCTATAGTTTCTTGTTACAAATTTTTAAGGGCAGAATAAACAGCTTTCAAGGTGAGTGTTACAAAAAATGCATTCTTAAAATCAAGAGATTTTGGATCAAGCTGTCTTTCTGATAAATACTGTGCTTCCTTTGTAAGGAGAAATAACTTCTAAATAGAGGGACCCTGGCACATGGGTTGGAGGCAGCTGCTACTGTGGCAGCTTTTCTCCAGCAGAATAGAGCAGGATGATGAATGTCATAAATGTTCTTCTGTTCAGTGTTGTCTTCTTATGACTACCTGAGTCTTATGAGGGCAATTATTGTAATCTCCAACTGTGGTAAAAGCAATGTTGACCTCCAAGTCTCAGGTAATTTATTGAAGGAAACCTAGGGAAGCTTTTCTTCAGAATGAATTGGCTTCACCAAAATCACTCACTAGCAATTTAATGGCATGGCTCTGATGAGAGATGGAGGGCACTGTACAGAATGGAATCTAGAACTAAAAAATCTTGTCTTGGTCCCTTCTATTCTGCTAATTTTGATGTCAGCAAATTCATAAATGCACCTGCCACTGGTCCCAGTACCTGTCATTTATAAAGAATCTTATTTTCATTCTCTTTGTTGAATATATCTTAAGAACATGCAATTATAAACTGGCAAGAGGTTAAATATTTGATAAATTTTTTCATGTTAATTTAGTGTAATTTCTTCTGTTTGCCTAAGTATCTAAGCAGGAATTTCTATTACCTATTTACTAAATCCAAAACTATAATCTACTTCATAGGAGGACCTCAGGCCATATTTTCATCCCTTTCTTGAGGCTCATATGGAAAGGGCAGGCCTGGCTGAGGTCTGTGGCTGGGGGGAGCTGCCTAAAAAGCACCTGGAGAGCAAGAACTGGAGAAGGATCCTCACAACAGAACCTCTGAGTGACCTCACCTTGTCTATCCAAAAGACTGAGAGAAGGCACCACACAGCATCACCAGCTTTGGAGGTGAGTGATCTACAGCCACAGCAGCTCCCCCAGAGCTCAAAGCCACTGCTGAACTCCTGTCCTGTCCTGCAGCTGTCACAGGGCTTTACAAGTCCCTGTTTTATTGTAACAATGCAATGCATCGATAAAACAGAGACCTGAATCCTCCCCTGTCACCTGAGTACTTATTGCTGTTCTACCTTCTGAATTAATCCAGATTCTGGGTTCTAGGGACCATTTGTAAAAATGGCAAAAAACTCTGATAGGGGTTCCATTTAACCAGGGAATGTTAATCTCAGAAACCTGTAGTAATATGATGAACCAGACTAAAATGTGTTAATCTTATATTCCTTGGCATGTAACAGCAGTTGGTGCTGGTTGAATCAGAGTGAGGAATTATGGTAGCTGCTCCTTCTTGTAAAATGGACATCTAATATTGCAGAAGCTCTTAAATGACCTGTGAGACTGCTCTTTAAGTTAGGTTGAAAATTGCCATTCCTCCTTCTGAATAACAAATACAGTGCTCTCTTCATATTAGAGTGAAATGTATTTTGATTTTTAAAACTGGTAAATAAGAGCTATTTCACTCTGAGATTGTCATCCTTTATTTCATTTCACTGCAATGAAAATTGAGACTTTCTGCCTAAAAATGAAAACAAGATTCCTCGTTAGTAGCAAGTAACAGTCTCTTTTACTGATTACTTTAAAATAAGGACAAGGTATTTCAACTATTCACAGATATTTCTGACATATCACAAAATAACATAAGAGAAAAAGATCATAATCATATTCAAAGCAAAATAGTTTAAATTTAATGTTTACAAACACATCGCTTTTTTTTCTTTTCAGAATATTTGCTGATACAGTTTTGCAGGAGAATTTCTGTTTGGTTACATACATTTCTGCTCCACACACCATGTTTTGTCCTAGGGGATGAACGGGAAAAAATATTTTCAGACTTGTACTTTGTCAGGAACAGGGATTTGGAATATGACCTCTAATGGGCTTGCAAACTTGTGTCTGTGAACTTGGTACAAGACTGAACATGCTATGCAGCTGACATTTATTTTACACCGAATTAAAGTATTCAAAAGAACTGAGATTGACTTCTTATATATGTATTTTTTGAAGCTTTAAGGCTGTATCACTAACAACATTTTACCAACCTCTTGCCATTTTTTTAAATGTTACAATTCTTTGTCAATTTTAGAATTGCTAGCAGTGATCATGATGCCCACTTAAAAAATTTCAAACCAAACAGAGGAATTCCCTGGGAAACTGCACAGCACATGCATGATACATAACTATAAAATTAGTCCAAAGTTTTGATAAATACTCAGTTCCCACTAGAGCTAATAGTTGTTCTTAAAGAATAAAATGCTTATTATATACAGAAGTTTGGGCAGAGTATGGACATTTGCCAAAGAGCACTGGAGGCATTTCAGGTCTGAATGGTTTGTACAGTGTTAACACAGCTGCCCTTTTTCCTCGTGTGGGCTCTTGCCACCTGTGGGAGGGATCATTCCTGGCACTGTCAATGGGCTCAAACTTACAAGACCTAAGTTCATCCTCTCCTGGCTGCTTCAGCTGAACCAGGAGCTCCTTGCAGGACTGAGAGCCCTTTAGGGCTTGCTTGTGAGCTCTATGCAAACTTGTAGAGCATTTTCAGATGCCAGTTTCCATCAGGCCAGCGTTTGGTCTTTTGCCTTCAGGACGTTACAACATGAAAAACTGCACCAGCATTTTTCAATGAGCACCATTAACTGACTTTGATAATTTGGCATGACCAGCAGTATTGAAAAAGATGCTGAACTCCTGTCTTGTACAAAACAAAGTACAGCTGCCAATTACCCTGCAACTACAGTCTGTAAATACTAAAAAAACATAAATATGTCAACCATACACATATACACAAAACACAGCAGTAGCAATATTACAGGATGCAATGCCTACTCTCTCTAACTGGTTTTGGTTAATACAGATGCAACAGCAAAATAAATGCTATTTCATATATGAGAACCTTTCTTCAAAGGTCAGTGGCAGTAAGCCATAGCTCAGGTCCAGGCTTTCACTAATCCAATGTGACTCACACAAATTAATCAATGAAAGACAGCAGTATGGGATGATAATTGCTGTCAGTTAACACAAACTGTGAGATAGAGCTTTCTTTTGATACCATTTGTAATTAATTCTCCCTTTTTCACAAGTGCTCTTTCTGTTAGCACTCACCAGACTTAACAGGGAACAAAGTTATTACATACAATGTATGATTTAGGGGTAAGGATTAATAGAAAGAACCAGCCTGAGATTGGATTTCCTCAATCCTGGGAGGTGCTCTCCATGTATTTAAGTGAAATTTCCATGAGATTGCACTTAGCAGACCACTAAGAAGTTGTTGCTCTCCCACTTTTTCTTCTTTCCCATGCAGTTCTGTTTCAAAGTTTTGTAGGAATTGCATGAGAAGGGCAAGAGGAGATGACTGCTGGTCCATTGTCCTGGCTAATGCTCTCCAGAGCAGCGTCCTCTCCTCAAGACCACATCATCTAGTCCAATATCCCCAGTTCTTCTTTTCCCTTTCTCACCTCTGAAAATAACCTAGAAAGAGAAACAGAACAATTTGAGTGGGGGATGAAAAAAATTACACAGAAGTAATTCATTAAAAAGTGTGATGAAAGATTCTGGTCTTCATTCAAATTTTCCTCAGGTCTCCAGCAGGCCCCTCCAAAATCACTACAATTTAGTTGCTTTTGGGTTTTAATTAGCTAGAAAATAAAACTTCCACATTCTTCCTGATTTCTCTTTGGCAGAGGCCTTCCCTGCTTACTTAAGAGGGTAAGTATCTGATCTTTGGATAAGAGTCCCAGTGGTTCAGGTCAGCAGGCCTGGCTGCCCATGCTTACAGCTACTGCCAGGGGGTCAGGAAAGGCAAGGGACAGGGCAAAGGGGGACTGCCAGAAGTGAGAAATTTAGGGGGAAGAAAAGGGTAAGAATATTGCAGCTATACTGTTCACCTGTTACAAATGCCCTCATTCTCAGTCCAACACTCATTGACAGCTAACAAAGTCAGGTGTCTTTGCTACTGTTGCTGAGGTAAATTTTCTAGAAAATTATCTGCAGTAATTACAGCCTTAATATTCATTTTAGAGCTAGACACTTGTGTCTGTCTTGTAGCCTGCTCCCATCATGAATTTTATATGTATGAGCTTTTCAGAGCACCTTGATATTTAAGTCAAAAAGGCCCTGAAATACCCAAGCCACGTCTGCAGATCTGAAATAAAAACTACCTTCAGAGGTTGAAGAATAACATAGAGCTTTTGATACTAGTTTAATCACACAATGATTCTAAAATTTCCAGGTATTAAAAGATTCTCCAAGGCACTTCAGGCCCCTTCTTTTGATTGCGCTAAACCATTTTGTGTTATGGGCATTGTTAGGTCATCATTCACCTCCTCAGCCTGATCAGCTGCAGGCATGCTAAAGGGCATAAAACCACATATGATTGCACTTGTAATCTCCCTGCATTACCAAAAATTACTTATTTTCAGTATCTTTGCCCTGGTTTAGCCAGTTACCAATCTACAGGGGATTATTCTTCCTATTTCATGGCACTGTATTATTCAAAACATTGTTCATGAGGAATCTTGATACAGGCATTTTTTTGAATTCTCTATAGAGTATGCCTCTGTCCATGAGGCTGCTCTTTCCTAGGTGGTGATTCCCTTAAAATGGGCAGTACCAGGTAGCTCAGGAAATGACAGAGTAGCCTATACTATGAGTATATTTCTATAGCTAGGATTTCTTTTTTTGTATACATAAAACTAATTTTAAAAAATGCACAATAACTCTCATCTGTATTGTGATTCCATTGGCAGAGACCAAAGTAGTAAAACAGAGTGAAACTGAACCCACAAGATGAACACTGCAGTGCTGCACCATTTAAGCATCCTCAGCTTTTTCATGCACAAACCCAAACAGCAACACAAGGGGATCAGTACTTACACTCTTGATGCCTGCTCCTGGTAAGGTTATGTGTGTCTGTCTCCAGCCATGACCCCCATTTCTCCCCCAGACAGCTGGGCCATGAGCTCCAGTTCTCCTCACAAAGACTTGCAGGGCACCAGAGTGCAGCCCAGGCACTTTATGCCTGAAGGACAGGCACAAATCTCCAGCCTGAGCCATGTGACCCAAGGGCAGGATAAGGTGTGCCACTCTTCCTTCTTTCCCTTTGGGATCAGAGATGGTGAGGTACTGTCCCCCTGCAGTGGAAAGAGCAGTTAGTTGGGCAGGTGGTTTGGTGCTTTTAACAATACTAGGTTGCAGGACCGAACCCACAAGAGTTATTAAAAATAAATAAAGGTAAAACAAGGTCCAGAGAGTGTAAAATAACTCATATAGAACCAGAACCAGTGCATCTGTCTCCTACAGGATAAGATTTACAGTGCTGCTCTTCTCTACATTAGTACCAGGCTAGGTGTTGCCCATCTAATTTCTTTTTGACAAAGTAAATAATACCCCCCTCTCCAAAACTAAAACCTCATGTATTCTGTCATTTCTGACAACCCCTTGATCACTGCATGATTTTAAACCCACAGTGACATTAAAGCTACTGTACAAATTCATGCACCTTTCAAGCTGCAATGTTTTGCTGTTGGGTAGATAACAGAGACCAGAATAAATGCTATCATGGAATTGAGCTGTGGCTCTGTCCCTTTCCTTTTGTTTGGGAACTGTGTTAACCAGGTAAATCTCAAAGCATATCCATTTGCAACCCTGATAGCTTCTTTTATTCAACTGTAATTTAAACTCTTAATCTGGTAGATAGAGAAAGCAAGAAGCAATAATGATTTCCACATGGCTGTTAACCCCAAATTCTAACAGTAGGAAGTTGTCAGTGAACATACATACTCAATTCCAAACCCTATTATTATCTCTTATCATGTATGAAGTAAAGGTGCCTTCCAGAAAACACTCAGAACATGAGAAGCTAAGGATCTTATCCATTAAACCTAGAAAGAAAAAAGGCACCTTTCACACCTACACTCAGAACTACACTAAATGAGATTTCACATCCTAGAGAAAACCCAGACCTGTATGAGTTGTTTGTACTTTACATTAAAACTTTTGCAAGGTGGGTGAAACCTTTAAAATCTAAAATTACCAAAGGGAAAAAGGTTCAAAAAATTAAAAAAAAACAAAACCAAAAACCTTATCTTACACTGAATCTAAGAATATATTTTCTTTATGTGATCAGATTTTATGTATTTTTTTAATTAAAAAATTCCACCTCTACCTTAAGTTCATTAAGAAAGTGGCACTTTTAGGCTCCTTACTTAAAACGAAAGATTTAGAAATATTGTGGATTTGTAATATTGTTGACATACACACTTAAACAGGATAGAAAAATATTTTTAATTGTGTCCCTGTAACTACTCAAACAGAGCATTATTTTTTGATAGCTTCTCTTTGAAAGTCACAATGTTTTCCCTTGAAAAGCTGTAAAATTTAATTACAATGTACCATGGCTTGTCACACACTTAAAAGAAAAGCCAACCTTGTCTCCAATTCACTACTTCTACATAAGTTTTTAAGTTCTTTGGTCTGAATGAGATTTAACAAAGCAAAGTATTATGCTGCTGTCTGGGGCCCTAGATCAACATTTAGCCATGAAGTGGGATCCATTTGTCCAAGGATCTGTTAAAGCCTTTTGGTGGGAATTTTCTCAGGGATTTTTTTGTTTTGGTTTGTTTTTTTTTTAATGCACTGCTTTTGCAGCAAGGTCACTATCTGCTGAAATAAGCATATAGAGTTTAAATAACTGTACCTGTTTGCTGAAGATACAATTATACCACTCTGAAAGTACTGACTTATTAAGTGCATCATTTTCAGATAGTTACTGTGGCTGAAGCCAATCAATAGGAAACAGATTTAGGTAAGCACAAAGCAAACATAGCTGTAGGCAAGCCCCTGCAGGAAAAGGTCCCCTCAAATCAGCATTTTCTGCATGCAAGATAAGCTTATAATGCTTCAGCACAGCGCCTTTCAAAATGCAGATTCTGATAAACCAACCTATAGCAAACTTTGCAAGGTGAAAGCAAGCAGTCAGGAACAAGCTGTGAAAATAAATCCTTCCAACAAGGTATTCCAGACTGGAGGGGGTGGGTGGATGGGTGGGTGACTTCAAGGGACTAGTTTTAACAGGTTATGTCAACAGCAGCAGAACACACACAGGAAATAAAAAGCTGAGCTTGTCCCTGACTACTGGGTAGCAATGCAGGGGAACAGTCTGACAAAAAAGAGCCAGTTAAAAATCGTGGTTCTGGAATTCAGTATATATAAATAACAGTTTTTGAGTACAGATGATGAATACACTCTGAATGACTGACTTAGAAAAAAATGTATTTTTAAATCTGTTGTTTCAAAAAAGGTATGAATTGCATGTAATTTTTTTTTTTTAAGTACCACTCTGCAGGCAGCAGACACCTGCCTGTTTTCTCATCTGCAGGAGGAAGGAGCTCTGCTCTCCCAGTCATTCCCAGGGCTTTTCATGTGTCACAAGGAGCTCCTGAAGTACCAGAGCAGCCGGTTTGGGGGGACACCTGCCCAGGCAGTGAAGGCAGCACTTCCACTGAGCCAGCCAAACAGCCTGGAAAGGTGCCAGATCACCTGCTGGGGTGGCAAATGACTGTCCCATCAGTGGCCAGACAGCTCTGACAGGGTGCTGCATGAAGAAAATGGCTCTCGGTGCCCTCACCCTGCCTCATCCTAGCCTGGCCACTGTCCCGCCTGAGAGCTCCTTTCCTTCCGCACATCCTGGGAGCTTTGTGCGCTTCAAAGGCACGGAGTAATCCCATCATTACGGGAGCCAGGGATGTGTGTCTAATCCCGGCACTGGGGGAAGGGCAGAGGCAAGGGCAGCAGCCTTGCAGTGCCACGCCAAAATCAACAGGGGACAAAATACATCCACATCCTGGGACAGCACAGCTGGGGGACAGGGAAGGGCTCTTCCTGTGGCTGAGCACCAGCACTGATGCCAGTCTCCTGTTCCTGCAAGCAGCTACTACACACTCCCCTCTAACCTTTGGGGTAATGTCACTTTTTATCATCCCAAATAGTCCCTTCTTCAGAAGCCTCTGTGTTTCAGCATTTCACTCGTCTGCCTTCCAGTTACTTAACATTTTTCCTATATACAGATTGATTTTATCAAATTCTGCTCCAAGCCACAGCAATCTGAGAGGTTAAACTAGAACATTATATCTGCAGCAAAACAAAGACTATTTCCAGTACCTTCTATAATTTTGCTAGTGAGAGGGAAATATGTTTACATGGTAATTTGAAAGACAAGCTTTGTTTCACCATAAATAAAAGTTGTTCTCTGGTCTACATTTTTTTCAGATTCCTTTAAGACAAACTTTTGCTGACTACATTTACTACTCCTTCACAGAGATTCCTATTTTAAAGATGTCAGCTATGATAAAAGTGTAAATTTTCAATTGCTCTTTCACATTGGGAATCCTCAATTTTGTTCTTTATACCCAGAAGAGGCATCAGTGTGAAATATACCCCAGAACTAAAGGGAACAGGAGCTGTGTAATTTGCCCTCAAGCAGAACTGTCATCAACCTCAAGCCTTGGGGGCTCTTCAACTGCAGGATGTGATTGTACACAGATCACTTACCTGATACATCTCTCACTGGTTCCCAGTGCAAGTCATCATCTTTGTCCTTGATCCATCCACACAGTCCACTGTCAAAATCACAGCTGTGCACCAGCACACCTGGCAGAACAGAGCAGGAGGTCACAAAATAAACCCAGAAATTATTCAGATTGTTTTGGTTTTCAATTTCCCATGTGGCTGACACTTGCAAGTAAGTATGAAAATTAAATGTAGAAGAAGGAACCCTAGGAAAAGAATCTACAAAAATACTAAAACAATAAAAAGGACTCTTGTATTATTAACAATTCATGCTATTTTTGTGGTGACTTTTTTTAGGAAATAAAAGTGTAAGGTTCATATAGAAGAAGGTTAATTTTACATGATTTTATAAAGCATAGATTAAAAGAGGGGCATAAGATATAAGAGTCCTGAAAAATGTATTAACTACCAAGAAATCTCAAAAAATCATAAATCCTAGATCCTAAATAGGAGACATGGCCTTTACCTGGGTCATCATTTGCTTCAAATTCATCAGCTGTAATCCCTCGTTCAATTTCAAGTATTTCAAAGAGATTATTGCTCACTCCAGGCTGGCGTGGAACTGTGAGAAAAAATGAATGAGATAAGGAAGTCGGTCACTAATTTATCTCTAACAAAAACCAGCAGAGTAACTCTGGGCATTGTGCTTTTCCTGGAGATTTCAATACATTTAATTATATTCAACACAAAGTCTCATAAACTTTATGCCTACGTGATTTACGATTTGTGGTGTAACATTTACCTAAGCACTGTAAAAGGTGATTCCAAATCTCCTAAAAGCTCTTTGAATGAAAGCTCCTTTTTAACCAGGGGGGAAAGCTTTAACCTTGAAGCCCACTGTTGTTCTCCAAATACATTTTCAGAGACAGTGGTTTCTCAATGAAATAAAGCCACATGAAAGTCCTCACACAAGCCTTCCACAGACATTTACAGGAGAACCTCGACAGGAGGCAGCAGCACTTGGAAGAGGCCCCACAAGCACTTAACCTTTGAAATACAGCTGAAGGTACATCCATCAATCTGCAAAGGATTAGAGCTCCCAAAACAATTACCAGGGTTGTACTGGGAGTTGAGAGGGAGGAGCTCTAGTGGAAGCTGGAATTCAACTGTAATTATACTTTTTGCTTTCCAGCACAGCCTGTGCTTCAGCTGCTGTTCCCAGCTGGAGGAGAAGGAACAGCTCTCAGTGATTAAGGGGCCCAGAGGTTATTAGACATTCAGCATCCAGGATAACCTGAAATTTATGAGCTCTTTGTGGGAGTGATGGCTGCCAAAGTCAGGTGGCTACAAAGACTCCCATGTATTTCTGAAAATGCTGTGCCAGTTTGTGTAAGTTTCAAGCAGATTTCTTGCCTGATGGACAGCTGTCAGCCAGAGATAAACAGATTGCACTGAATAGAGCTGTCTTGGAAAATTCCTCTTTTAGAGGCAGGTCTAATGCATAATTCATAACAGTAGTAATGTGTTTCAGACATGTCCTCAGATTTTATAGGCACCTCTGACACCTAAGGTATTTGTAAGTGTCTTATCTATTAAAAACTTGGCATGTTTTCCATTTGCAGTGGTAAAATAACTATTAATGTCTCTATAGAACAAGTGAGAACAAGAAGAATTAAGATAACTGAAAGGACTCTTGTTTTCAGAAAATCAAATCTAAGGTTAAGAAGGAACTTCTTTTGCACTAGGTCAACATGAAAATAGCACTGCTACAAGAGCTCCTCTAAAGCCAAAAGATAGAAAAGGAAAAAAAAAAAGTTGATATTAGGACAAAATAAGCAAACTCCAATGTATTTTTAAAGTACTATTCTAGGCTAGAGGTCTTGAATAAAAAATTTATATAACAAAAACAAATAGTGAAAAAGCTCAAAATGTGTAGTAAGCCAATGAACTCCCAAATATAATAGTCATTATTTTAATCATTAAGTCTCCCTTTCTCTTGTTTTCTTTTTAGTCCTTTGCATATTTTTGATTATGTATATTTGCAGTCTAGGATATTAATGCTCTAAACAGCTTCAGATTTAAGGCTGGGTATTAGAGGGCTGTTAATTTTGAAAGATACCTTGATTGTAAATAGCATTTTTGCTGCTGCGTTTCACCTGGGCTGTTTTGCTTTAAAACCTTGAGCTTTAACATGAAAGAAAATTTATAAATGTGCACAGTCCCCACAACCCAGGCCAATAATTTCCTTGCAGAACATCTATGCACAAATATTATATAAATCCATTGTTCACCCTGCATTATGCAGGTGGGGCAGTTGAACAAGCACATCTATGCTGCACACCCCGGGAGCAGCACCTTGCCTTTCCTCACCTCAGACTGTGCCAAGGGAAGGAGATACTGTTTGTTTTCTGTGCTGTGGAGAACAAATCAACTTCAGAACTTGTGAGCACAGCACAGCAAGCACCAAAGGCTCAGACCACAGGTTCACAGGCAGGTAATTACAAGGTTTTAAATGAGCACTGTGGCAAAGAGCATGAAGGAAACTCTCTGCCATGCTCGAAGGTTTGTAGGATACTCAGAGGTCACAGTTTTAAGGTACATGTTCCTGCACACTCTCTTCTCAGTCTGTCACAGTCCTTGTTTATGGAAAATACTGTAAAAAATATTAGGAATTTATCTTGTAAACTACTTCGGTTTACTTCTTCAAGTACCACTTCTAATGCACTGCTTTCTATAAGCCTGAGTTACATCTGTGCAAATTCTCCAAATTCAAGTTGATATATCTACCTATAATTAAAGCTCTGCAAAACTATTTTTAAAAAAATTCCCTGAGAGTCCTTTCCAAACACTTTTTTTACTAACTTCTAGAAGAATGTGTTGTAGTGCTTTAATAGTGTCATTTCAGTGCTTGGACCTAATTGCAGGAATGTGCACTCAATTTGAAACGAGGGTTACCATAAGAGATGCAGAAATCTAAATATAACCCACATGTACACTTCTTTTTGCCACGACAACCAATATGTTCAGTGGTGATCGTGGGAGAAAGTATTTGGTACAATTATTTTCTGTAAGCTTTCCGAGCCCTTTCTGTGTACTTTATATAGCGTATCAGTGTGCTTTTCACTTAACTTCAATGGTTTGATAAAGCTTGTCAAATAGAAACTTGGCTTCTTTTACTTGAAGAATTTTATAACCTCTGAGTGAGCCAATACACCCACACTGTCATATTCTCAAAGTTCATGAGCTAACTTCTTCATAGATGCACAAATCTGGGGGGAAATATTAAATAACTGTGATTATTAAATAATCAATAAGTGCGATTTCTTTTGGGCTTTTTTAACCTTTGGGAAAGCAATACAGCTTTTTTTTAATTTACTTGCTAATTGCTGAGATTGGGAGTATAAGAAAGTACATGTATATATATATCAGCTTATTTGCAATAAAGAAATAATTGCTGTTTTGGTGTTACAAAACCAAGACCTGGACTGCAGCTTCATGTTATTAGTAACTGTTATTACTATTAATAATGCAGTTGTCTGGCTTACAGAAAAAAATGATTTTGCACTGTAAGTACAATTCCACTTCACACAGTAATCATTACTAAGCTTCCCATTCACTAAAAACAACAACAAAAAAGGACAAAGATGTTTTGACTGAATAGTTATAACTGAAAGCTGTTAAATTGCAAAAAATTCCCACAAGCAATGAGATCTCACACACAACTAGTAGAAAACAGCTAAAAGTAAGGGTAGTCCAGAGGTAAGTCAGATTGAGAAAACAAGAATAAATCCTGCTTTCCTCCAGGGAAGATATTGATATTTGCTGGGCTAAAAAGAAGAGGCAACAGAGAGGCACATTTCACCCTTTTGTTCAGACACCCACAGTGTCCAGAAAATATTTCTTAAAACTCTACAGATTCAATTCTGCAGTAAGAGTTATTTTAGGAAGTGCTTTGATGGACTGTGCCACCCTCTCCAGCACTATTTACATATGAGGGGAGACACAACAGTCTCAGCATGCCACCACTCTACAGTGCAATCTTGCATTTCTTGGGCAGTTATAAGGCTCGGTAAGCTTTACCAAAATCAAGCATCTTGGTATTTACCTTTGCAGAAGGTTTTCTGCAAAGTGACCTGCCTGCTTTTGTATGAACATCCATTCAGGAGGTGCAGAGCGCCATGTGAGTTTCAGGGAAACACAGCTAAAACAAGGAGTGAACAGAAACTTGCATATCAGATCTGGGAACAAAACTTGCTGGAAGATTGATTGAAGGTGAGACTTGTAAGACTCCTGGATTTCATGACTGAACTCCAGAGTACCAACAGGAACAAAGCACCTATCACATATGCTTAAATATAAACACAAATACATTTTAAAAGGTGCTAGAAAAGTGAAGACAAATGAAATACTGTTGTAAAATAATGCTAGTCTAAGGATATCAAGGAATAACAAACCCTCTAGTCTTTGCTTTTATTATTTCCCTTTTTTCAACAGCTTCAAGGATCACAAAACTGCACTTACGGCACTAAGGACTTTGCAGTCACTGAAAGGGAGAAAAGAAAGAATCCAGTTTTAATCCAATCTCTACATTTTTAATAGCTGTTATGAGAAACATTTCCTAACTCCAATCTTTTCAGCTCCACTAAGGGCTAAGAAGAAAAACTGCTGAACTGTCTTTTAATATAGATAAGGGGGTTTGTTCTTGCTATGCTGATATCTAGTGTTATGCTTTAAGTTTATGCTTTTAGTGCTTATCATCCAGATCCCAATGGCAGCAGAAATTCACAGGCATATTGAGAAGTTTGTTGTATTTGTCAGAGACTTATAACTAGAAAACATTCCTCTGTACTTCACTGTAGTTTGTATCAGTGCTGAAATAGTTAAATATTAAGCTATCACTGCATTCCTCTCTCATTGCCATTCCCCCCCTATCCATATCAGGAGAAGATTATCCTTGGTGCCAGATTCCACTGTCTGCATCTGACTAAGTGGTTCAAAGGCCAAGTGTAGGAATTCCATGTTAAAAAATAAAAATTTTTTTGTTCTCTAAAAAAGCAGCTTCCCAAAGTCACTGCAGGCTTTTTTAGAAAAGGGGTAAAGCATCTAAAGAAAAGAAACAACCCAATACCTTTCAAAAATTGCAAAGGGATTTAAATAAAATTATCAGCATTTTTATCATTTGTGCTCTTTGTCACTGCTGAAGAGAGCAATTTCTCTGATCCTCAGCTCATTTCAAGTTGAGCAGCACATTCAAGAGAGCTCTAAAGTGAAATCCTAGGTCAAGTTGAGTCAGTGTGTGGAACAGCAGGTCAAATAACAACAAAGGGGGAAAATAGGGAGCAAGGAGTCAGCAAGGGTACCCCAGGAAAAGGTTAACTAACAAAAGCTAGAATTTGAGAGATGCTTGCAGAAAAAAAGTCCATTTGGCGCAAGCATGTTTCCTCTCCTGATGTCGAGCAATCCTAGAGCACCAGGATTTGGTCTAGGACATCTGTGCAGCAGGCAATGCCCCCTTTGCCATGGACTGTCTGACAGAAGTACCCCCTATTCCATGGCAGAGCAAAGCAGTGTTGCTTGCTGCAAGTCTGGCTAAGGCTGCAGAGCCCCATGGGGAAAAAAGAAAGGGAAATGTCCATAATAACCTAGCTGAAAACACAACTTTGAGGTCTTTAGCAGATGTTAATGGCTTTGTTCAAAAAAAGACTGGACATGGCACTCAGTGCCATGGTTTAGTTGAAGTGTTAGAGCATGGGTTGGACTTGATGATCTTGAAAGTCTCTTCCAGCCTAGAGATTCTGTGAATTCTCTGAGCACAGAACTGCCAGTGGTTGCTAGTGCTCTCTAGGCTGGGTTTTGCCCATCCCTGTGTGATAAAATACTACATTTTGTGACTCTTTGGAATACAACAACCCTTGGAGACAGAGGAGGAAGCAGACAGGTAAGATGACACAAATTCTTTTGAAGATTTATAAAACTGAGGTTAAATCCTAGTTCATGACCTGAGTGGATCTAACATCCATTTTCTCCTCTGTTTTCCATGAAAATAAGAGTTACAAGACCACTAATTGCTCTCTGTATTCTCCAGTGAGAAACAAAGAAAGGCAGAAAGGGCAAGGCTTTTTCTTCTCTTTTCAGGCAGGCTTATGGGGACGACAGCGCTAATTCATTTTTGAGAACTGGCTTCTTTGCTGTCTCATCTGGAGAAGCAGTTGATGTGAGGAAATGAACCTAAAGAAGCTCAGTATAAGCAAAACAAAATTATTCATGTCCAGAACCCAGGAATACTACAAAGATGTTTGATGTAGGTGAGACTAAAACAGAAACAGCTTTAAAGAAGCTGAAAGAAATAGTTCCAAACTCCCCTTACGTGAAGAAACATAGAGGCAAGTGAAAAATCCACAAATGCTTTTGGAGGTGGGAGGGCTTGGCACATCCAGCTAGCAGCTAAGAGACAAGTTGAAGGTTAGCTAAGTGTTACTAGTTATTCAAGTTTGAAATCCTGTATTGTCTATCATGGTTGTTACCATTGTGTCTGGCTGTGAGGAACGATTTTGGAGGGGCACTGGCTTACACTTGGTGGGAGCACTGCTGTCCTGAGCTCACAGTGCCTCACACTGAGCAGCTGCAGCCAAACAGAGCCAGGCACTGCTCTCCCACACTCCTGGAGCAGGGGCAGGGCTGGCCAGCAGGAACCTGAGCTCAAACCCTCTGCGCACAACATCTGTAAGCTAACGTGAAAGGCCTTTCAGGTAATGCACCTCACCTCACTTTGCCATGGGCCAAGAGCACTCATGCAGCCAGGTCTGCAGCCCAGCTAGTGCCCAGGAATGCAGGACCTGCCATAATGCTCCCATGCAGCTGAACCCTGGTGTGATGGCATCTGGGGATGTCCAAGTATCTCTGTTTAATGTAATAATGTTTAGCTGTTATCCTTACAAGGGCACTACTGCAGAGAGGCAGACCCACGCTCTGTGCATTCCACTGTAGTAATGTATAAGGGCTATAACTTTTCTACCTGCTTTTCTAAATGTCCCACATGAGGAAATTAACTTCTGCTCTTCCCCACAGACCTCTGCAGTAACAGGATTCAAGAAATACCCTACTCTACAAGCAATGCTTTCTTTGAGAAAGTAGCACATTCTTCTGAAACAGAACTGTTTTGCACTAAACTGTAGATTTCAAATCCTTAACAAATGCTTTTGAGCACTCCCAACACAAACACTTCTACACAGAGAGAAAGTAGGAGAGGACTCCAGTGACCACTACCTAGATGATACTTTCAAAGTGTCCAGAAGAGAAGAGAGAAAAACAGAGCAGAAAGCAGAGTGGAGAGAAAAAGATAAGAGAGAGAAGAGAAAAAGACACCAGCTTCATTGAAGATCACAGCACTAGCATCATCTGGGGCACAAGTGGAATATTATTTCAGTCACACGTATGTGCATCAAGTATGGCTCTTGCAGGGAATAAAAAAAATTACATGGCATTGAAGATAGACATCTGTTGACCTGATCTGAGGCCTCTCTGTCCCTGTATTACCTACTGAGGCCAGGAACAGCTGGTGCTTGACCCGTTTCAGTCCTGCTGTGCCGTGCACTGAAGCCTTTGAAGCTATGTATGTATATCACAAACCTCAGAGTGTGGCAGCTGACCTAAACCAACAGTTGATAAACACTTTGCAAAGGTCCTGTGTTTGTTATATGTACCATAATGTAAGCTGCAGTCAGACCAAGCCAAACTTCAAAGGCTTTTATTTTCCTATTTTCCAAACTCCTGTATCTGAAACACATGTATTGAAAGCATTAGCTTCAAAATCCCTCTAGGGGCAATATAGAAAGACTAATTGTAAATAATAAGCTTTACAGAGAGGATTGTTATGACTTCACAAAAATTCAGAACACTGAACACTAGCCCTCTGCTTTAGTATTCTAGAGAACACTCACAACATGAGACAGACACATGGGAAGCATAATACCGGAGTCTACAATAATTTCCACAAAACTAAATGTTTAGCTGTTGGGTCCCATAAGCTTCATAAATCTTTATTATATTTCCTTTTAAAATTTCACTTAAACATATGTCCATATTTTTAATTGAATATGAAGCCAAAAGTACACTCTACTAAGCAGTACCAGGATTTTTCTTCTAACTTTTGTCAGCTCCACTCTCCATTTTCTAACTGTCTACAACAGATAAAATGTCACAGGGAAAAAACTCTTTTACAAGGAGCAAAATATTTCACTGAGTAATGACCTGGAACAACAAAGCCCAGAAATTACCACATAGATGCCAAAGCAACCAGAAAAAAACTCCCACATTGCTTGTGCACCTGCTCTGAGACAGCAAACTTTTCCTCCTACCACATTGCTTCAGCAGCTTGATTGTACAACAAGCTGGAGAGCTGATCCAACACACCCTCCCCATCTCTAAAATTAGCTACAGAACTAAAGATGAAATCGGGTGTCGAGTATTTCTTGGCAGATATGCACAGCTCTGTAAGTGCCAGTAATGTCTCCTGTGGTATGCACTAAAGCTGGCACAATGGTGCTGTAGACTTCAGAGGAGCTCCTAAAGTTACATGTCTTCATGCTATGATAATCTTTACTATCTTCAGCTTTTCATGTATCCCTTTCCACAGACACAGTCCAGAAAATTAGCCTCTATGCTATTTTTATGCATTTTTCCCATTGTTTAGTCATGAACATCTGAGACTATTTGAACCCATACAAAAAAAAAGTCACATAGAATCCTTTAGGTAATTAGGCATGATCCCATTTCTTTACCATTCTTAAAACTATGGTAATATTCTGTTTAGGAGGGACTCTCAACTCTCTGAATTTAAATCCATTGACTACTTTATGAGTTATGCTATACTTCAATCCTTTTCAATAAAATGTCTTTCATTTCCTTAAAACCTTCATCTGAAAGCATAATTAAGTACTTCTATAGGACAATATACTCAATAATTTCAGGGGGAAAAAATAAATACTTTTTTGATTGATTGATTCAGAACTTCCATCGCAAAATTTTGTTAGGTAATAAAATCAACTACTTTTGCAGCTTTACCATATAACCATTTTCAGTTTCCCTTATCTGTTCTCAATGATATATTGTTCCAAAAATCCCAAACAGTATAGTGCACGCTTTCATCTACAGCTTTGATAAACAAAGGCATATGGAAAATTACTTACTGAACACATCTCCTCGGGGTTTCTGAGGATCTGGCTGGATCCTGTTGTCATCTATAACTCCTTGGGAAGTTGTAGTTTCAATGGGAACATGTGCAGGCTCTTCAGTTATTACCAGAGGAGTTCTTTGTGGTGGTAGTGTAGGTCTTACTGTTGTAGGTTGAGGTGTTGTTGGAGGTGGAGGCTTCACCACGGGTGTGGTGACCGGCCTTGTTGTCACCGGCACATATCTCATGGTTGGCTTGGGTGTCAGTCGAGTTGTCCTGGGTGCAGGCTGAGTTGGCACAAGTGTAGGACGAGCTGGTGGCCCAGGTGTAGGATGAGTTGTTGGCCCAAGTGTAGGACGAGCTGTTGGCCCAGGTACTGTAGGACGAGCTGTTGGCCTGGTCACTGGCCTTTCTGTAACAAAAGCAGGTACATGCAGTGGTCTGAGGAGTTGTGCCTTCAGCATCAACAATCCTGCTCATTCTACCACTGCCTCCCTCAGGGAGAGTGCAATTGGCCTTGAATATGTGGTATGGACCAGGTGGTTCAATCAGAAAAATAGGAATAATTGCAAAGAGAATCAAAATGGGACCAAAATGGACATCTCAGCCTCTCACTCCAGAAACTTAACAGTCTCTTTCATTGTGACACAGAGACACTTGGATGAAATAATTTTTTTTCTTCTGAAGGTTTCCAGTTAGAAACATAGTTTAGCATCAGCACTGCTAAATTATCACATCCCTTTAGGTTGTGCTTGGCAGTGCAGCAGTTTAGAGATAATTTAGAACGACTGAAGGTCAAGACACTTCCATCCCACATCCTCTCAAGCATCGAGTCTCTTTCAGAGTTGGCAAAACTTACACAAAAGCTTGCTGGTTAAAAAATGCATGGGCAGGAAGCCATGGGTTAAGCAGCCCCCTAAACTGGACAAGTTCATAATCAGGAATGGAAGCAAGTTTATTAAGACCCCAATGTTACAAGCATTTTGATCACAGATGGCCTTTGGATTAAGAAAATTCTCACAGACCTTTCCTTCTAAACATTTCTCCTTGTCAATAAGCAGAATTATTTTAGAGATTGAACCAAGCCAGCCTTCATTTAGATCCTTCTCTTTGCTAAAAGCCAGGAAACTAAGACATTTTTCAGCCTTCATAAAAACAAGGTGCTGGACTGAGCACCACTTTCACCCCAGAGACAGTGCCCACAGTACCATCTCCTCCAATGTTTCAGAAAGGACAACAAGTTTTAACTTAGTCTCACAAGGAGAGTTTCTGAAGACATGAAACACAAGAATATGTTTTGTTGTTTTCTATTGGTTAATAAGACTTTTACATCTCACTGGAGATGTTAAAAGGCTCAGTAGGAACTCTAGTCACATATTTTGTGTACAAGCATTTCAAGTATAGCACACAGTTAAAATGAAGAACTACTGTTTGTTAAACAGTGAATTGTTTGATGATAGCAGGTAAAAATGTTTTCCCTCTGGCCACCTGTTTATTACTATCCCTTTGAGTACCCTGCAGTTTTGACATTTACAGTATATTAAAATATAAAAACACCCCTTAGGACCATGTCCCAGTAACACACATGAAATGTGCCCACATATACTTGCAAGCACTCAGGATGTGGGAGAACACCTTATACCATGACAGCTACAGCTGAAGGGGAAAAATGGTGCTGCTCTTTAAAGAGATCAGTGAGTCACCAAAGACCAGATCCCACAAAGGAATGCAGGATCAAAAAGATCCAGCAGATGCCACAGAGCTGCACACTCTTGTGGGACGTCAAATATGGGAGACCTCCAACACCTTATTCTGTACCAAGTGTGGTTGCTTTCTGTGGCTGCTTCTCCCAAGAGAAAGGTGGCCAAGGGAATTTTCCAACAGCAAATCCTTCCAGAGAAATCCTCCCTCCTGGCTCTTCTCACATCTGGGAAGCAGCAGGGAGTGGATGGGGTGAGCTGCTGAAACGGGCCAGTTGTGGAGTGTACATAACAACAGTGTATGAGTAATGTGCACTGTTTGATCAGACCTACCCTGCTTACTCAGTTGCTCTCATCCTGAAGCAATCTCTAGAATCAAGCTGTGAATAGGGAGAGGTGAATTTCTTTCTAATTATGAGAATGTCTCAGGGAAAGGTATTTTTACCAGGGCATGCTAAGACCTATAAAACTCCAAATACATTCACCAGCCCTTTATTTAGTATTAAAAATAGTGATGAGAAATTGAGCCTGACAGAGCTGTACCTTAAAATTTACAAAATGGGACACATAAGCTTTCAGAATCTCTGTTATAAAAGGAGCATTACATACGTATGCAGTTTGTTCCATTGTCTCTGTACCCCTCTTTACATTTGCATTTGTAGGATCCTGGAGTGTTGTAACAGTGTGAAAAGCTACCACACTGGTGGTGGCCAAGAGCACACTCATCTATATCTGCAACAGAAAATTTACATTAAAAAAATCATTTGCTTCATAGAAACCTGACCTTCTGCTTATCCCTGCAAAAACCCCCAAACATTAATACCATTTTGATTATACAAAAAAAAAAAAAACCCCACAATAAAACTTTTGCCAGTGAGAAAAGGAAAATAGACAGTCACAAATCAATGTGGTGATGCAAACATTAGGGAAAATAGGGACTATTGGGAAACTTTGGTATTGCTCAGCTTTTACCTTAGCATCAGCTTCACACATGCCATAGGTAGATTGCAGCTGAGATCTTTAACATCACAATTTAACAACCACTTCTTACAGGAGACAGAATAAGAAAAAAGGAGGGTAGGAATATGCATATTGTTAATCACACAGATATTAAATCGGTTTTTCTTCATAAAATTCTTTCTATATTGTACATCTGTATAGAAGTTTCTACATCAAGTAGAAACTTCTGGCAATGTTTTATATGCCATATCCACATTTATTGTCAGTGATGCAAGAAAAAATCTCCAAATTCTAGCACTCTGAATACGAATTTCTCTGAAAAAAAATACTTAAGCAAACATAAATTATCTCCACATAACCTTTTTTCAGTGAAAGAATGATAGCCAGTTGAGACCCTGTGAAACTAAGGCAGAGAGACCTGGGAATATCTTTGTTGAAGGGCATACACCAGCTGCATTCCAGTCTCTTGTCCAGACAAAAACAGGTTATTTCCCAACTCCTGACTCTTCCCCACCTGTCTGCAGGGGAAGGAAAGTTGGGCAGTCTGGGTTGGGAGGGGGTAGGGTGTGCACATTTTCTGATCTTGGATCTTGGGACATGCTATGGAGCACACCAGAGTTACAGCTCAGACACAGCCTTAGCTCATACACTGCTCCAAGCCTTCAGCCAGGAACAGTGAACCCTGAGGAAAAAACAGCTTTGGAAAGGAATTCCTGCAGTCATCAGCTCTGTTCTCCCCACTAACTTCCACACAAGAACCAGTTGCAAGAATGTGGGCCAAATACATGCCTTCTCTTTCACAGCCTATTTCTATAATCCACCCTTTCTTAAAATACCAATGCAGTGTAAAACAACCTGCTTCAACATTTCAGCCATAATAAATAAACATTCCTCTTTGAGCATTAATTTAATTTTCAAATACACAACTCTATTACATGCATGTGAGAAATAGCTTGTTATTACCATGGCACTGGTATTTGCCTCCAATGTACATCAGGTCAAAGCCTTTATGACACCTGCAAATGTAGCTCCCGAAGGTATTGACACAGTGCCTGAATCGTGGGCAGAGAACCCTCCCAGTAGCACATTCATCAATATCTGTGGAAACAAAGGAACTGTGTTATTCTTAATAACAGTTAAAATACAATGTGTGCTAAATGAAACTGGTTTCACATAATGGAAAGCTAAAGAATAGCCCAAGTATTTTTCATATGGGCCCTTGGTCAGCCAGCAGTAATTCAGAGCACTTCTTCTGGCTGTGCCTTCCTGTTCAGCTCTGGGTCACAGGCAGATGCCCAGGGAGCAGCTGATGCCCACCCACTGCTGCTCTCCCTGCCTGGGGAGCTCTCAGACGAGGTCAGGCTGACACACAAAAGCTGCTTGTGCTGCCAGTCACTCTGCAGCCCTTGGACACCAAGCAGAGGCTGCTGAGTGCTCAAACACTAATTCTCCACTGAGGTACAGACCTGCCATGCACGGCTGCTTCTGACGCACGCAGCTCCTCCTGTTTGCTGGTTATCTACAGGGCACAGTTCAAGCCTTTGCTCTGCAGCTCTATCAGGCTCTTGATCTATGGGAAAGCAAGATTTTGCTCTCCATGCAGTGCTTTTCCCAAAAGGAGCCCTTCAGCTGCCGATGTCAAGAGTGCAAAACAAAGCCGAGTGATTGATGCCCTGCTGCTCTTGTGAAAGGGGCCTGAGCAAGGCAGAGCCTCTTCCAGTGCACAGAAAATATGTTACCAAAAGTTGCTGGTTAGTTAGGGCAGCTACCTGAGTGGGGGAGATGGAGCTTCAGCTTCTCTCCAAGCTGGGCTCCCACAGCCAAGAGAAGTGACTTAAAGCCATGAATTAATGGCCAGATGGGTCATCCCAGGAGCTCCTGCTGGCACTGTCCCACTCTGCATGAAGAATTACTGAGGATAGCAGTAAAAGGATTCAACCCCTGAGCTCCCACACTCCTGGCCCGCCTGACTGCTCTCTCTCCATCAGGAGCATTGCTGGAATGGTGCAGTAAAGGCCTCAATGAGAAAGAAAACAAGGCAAATACTGGGCACCTCTCCACATGTCTGAATCTTCCTATAAATCTGTCTCTTGATTTGAATTTATTGTTAACATTTTAGGCTTTGAGTATGCTACTAAGTTTTACAAACTCTATCATGCTTCTTATTACAATTTAATCAACAAGTCCCAATTTTCTATCCTTTATTAAAATATTATTTCAAGGCTGCAAGTTTAAGACTCTTGATTACTAAGAGTTAGTTGGGGTTTTTGTTGGTTTTTGTTGGGTTTTTTAATCTTTAAACTACAGCTTCAAAAAGTAGTTCAGTAAGAATGAGATTAGCCACTGAATATACTTCATCATGGCATGGATTATGATCTTTAAAAACCTAATGTAGCATGTCCTGCTTCTTCCTCTGTTCATATTCATATTAATTCACATTTTTGCCAATTCACATAAGGCAAAAATTATGTTAAATTATTGCAGCAGTGTAGTGGTAGGCAGTTATATGTCCTAGAGATACAGGACAGAGTTGTTAATCAACATACTGTTCAAAACTGATGCAAAAATATGGAAAAATGTAACAGGCCTTCCACTTGCATATAATAAGAGGTGCATGGATGCTCATTGCTGAAGGGAAATCCACTTTTTGATCAGTAGCCACAAGATCAGTGATCAGGTTCCTGCAGCTCTCAAACAGCACAGTGACTGTGGCTCCTTTCAAGCCAATCCACGCCTGGACCAAAAGGTGTAGAGCTGTTCCCCTTTGCCTGCTGCAACGTGCTGTGGTTCATACCTGCTTCCTGTGAAAAGCAGGGCATGCAGGGGGGATTTGGAGCTGCTCCAAAGGCACATGAGGCAGTGTGATGGTCAGCACCTAATGAGTGTGAGGGTCAGTGTCCAACAGAGAAGCAGAATTGCTTCTCTCTCTTGTTGCAAGTATGACCACATTACCAAGCACAAAATAACCTAAGACTAATTTAAAAATAGCATAATTTTTAAGTTTACTAGGCTGTATCTTCTATTTTCTAAACACACACAAAAAGGAAATAATTAATTTTATAGTGAAAAATCATTATTTTCAACCCTCAATTTCAGAACACTTGAAAATGAAATCTGTATATGGCTCATTTCATTAAATTAAAATCCCAACCCAAAAACCTGGCAAGACCAATTGATTTATTGATTCAAGAGTCATTAATCAACTAATTAGCTGTTCAATCCACATTTTCACCAAATACTTTGCTGAATTATTTTTTTCACTTTGTTGTCATCTAGTTTATACGATTTACCTTTATAGCCAAATTGGTGGCTCTTTACTGATTGTCTGAAAGGAACATTTTAAACAAGGGAATGCTCAGCAAGTGTTAAACTAAGAATAGAATAATGCCCAGAGGAATTTCCACCTGTGCTAAAAATAGGCCTTGCATTCCCAGCTGTCTTTCAGACTTTCCTCAAACAGGGATCTCATGAGCTGTAGGCAATGCACACTTCAATTTTCTTACCACCACCTACACTTTTATTTGTACTGCAGCATTATCCAGACCCTTGCTGGAGCCAACAATTTCCCCAACAGTGACAAGCTTGTACAAACATGAGGGAAAAGCACAGCCTTAGTCCCAAGTAGCTTCAACTCTTTGAGGTATTTACTGCAACTTGAACTTGAAAGAGAAATAACACAGAAAGGGTGCATGTCATAATCACTTCTTACCAAAAAAGGGGAGAACATTATGTTACGATGCAGGAAGAACAGACACCTCTTGGTGTAACTATTTTCTCTGTATTATACCAGGCTGCTCTGTAATTCTTGTGGAAATTTTAGAAATAGGTTATGAGGTCATTCTGAATGATGCATACCCAACTAAAATGTGGGTACACAGTTCTTTGCCTTTCTGGGTAGAAAAAAAATTGTTTTTTTGAAAACTGCACTGAAGAACTCAAAGAGCTTCATAGTACTGGTTTGGGTGTTAGTCTTTGGCATTAAAGTACACTTTGTTTATTTCAAAGTATGAAGTTTTCCTGAATATAAAAATGAGCACTAGGAGAACATTGCAAGCATTTTTTCTAGCAAATTTCTTTACTTGGTGTAGCTTTCTTGAATTTGTACCTAAAATCATTCAGCTTACTATGGCATGGCACAAATATCTTTCAAAGTTCTCTCTGCCATAATATCCACAATAGGATTTATCACAACTTAGTCCCTTCAGTATGCAACAACAGTAGGTCCTGTTCTTTCCATTTTTTTCCATGCACAGATGTGCCAATCATGCACTTCAGAAAGCCTCTGACTTGGTGTGGAGCCTGCTCTTCTCATCAGAACATCTAGAGTCTGTCCCTTTCTCTGCCAACAAATTTTTGGTCACCTTGTGCCAGGCACTTGGAGAAACACCTACCCAGTGGTGAGCCAAGATATCCGAAGGGATGATTAGAATGTCCCCATTTTCTTACATTCTTTCAGTGTTGCTGATAGAATTGTTATAGAATTGTACCACTTCAGAGAAGATAAATAATGAAATCACTAGAGCATCATATCCCACTCAGGATGTATAGTTAATGACTGATGAAATCACATGTCACACTGTTCTTCAGACCATAGTAGAGTCTGATTAACCATAAGCACCTTTTCCATGTTCACAAACGTGGCAATAAAATATTTCACTTTTATACACTCTAAGTTCCTGTGTTTATTTTAACCTGGAGTTTTCACAGTATGGAAGAAAGACAGCACATTCAATCCCACTAATACTGGGAACATACAGAGACCTTCACCTTGCCCCACTACAGTATCAGTGATTTTTACAAATTAACCTACTGAGCTAGGCACCACCCTGTTGGGTATGAGGGAAAGGTGATCTCCCCATTCCTTTTTTTATGCAGGCAGGTATTTTGGAGTTAGCAATAGCTTGTAATGACCCAGTAGCAGGAGTGGCAAGGGCCAAGGGCTTGGATACCAAGGAGTCTGTATGGGCTTTAGGCAGACAATGAAACTTGCAGGACTGAAAACACTGGCAATCTCTGACACAAGGACACCCGAGCAACAGCCCTATTACTACTCTCATTATTAACAACTTTAAACTGCCTGTTCTATGCATTCTAAGTACCTCTGATAAACTCTCTTGAAGTGCATTCTGTGCTAGGATAAAAGCATACTGGAGAAAAAAAAAAATTAAAATTTTTAAATCTACATTTGGTCACGTACCTACACAGGTCCTGCCATCAGGCCCAAGCTGCAGCCCTGGAGAAGGACAGCGGCAGCGCACCTCCCCTTTCAGCACGTCACAGCCATACTGGCAGTTTGCCATCAGGCAAGAAAGGGCATCTGGAGAAAAATGATTGAACACATTCAGATAAAGACTATGATCAGTGCTACAAAGTGACTGAGAATTTTGGAGAATTAAGACATCACATATTTATGATAAAAGTGGGAAAATGCTTGTATCCTTCAAAGAGAAAAAACATCTGCTAGTAAAATTTTTCTTTCCGCAAACTACTTCTCTTAGAAAATGAAAAAAAAAAAAAGAGAAAACTACCCCAGTCGTAATAAGTTGTTATTGTAGTAAGTTATTATTGAGTGGAGTCTGCAGAATATGTAGCCTAATATGTACTAAAGACTCTCCTGGACAGTTACTGCTATTTTAAAAATGGAGTATCTCTAATTGAAGGTAATTTCTCTCCCCTCCCCTCTATCCAGATATTCAAAGTAACTGTTTTTACAGGAACAAGTAGGAACCTGATCCCTGGAGAGATGGCAGTACAATTTTTATACCAGTCAAACAACGAACATCTGCAGCATTAAAGATTTTACATTCATAAGGCCAAAAGGCAGCAGAAATGCAGGTGTCTTGCTGCAATGAAAACTGCAAGCACTTGTCCTCAAAGGCCAATTAGCAGTGATTTACAGCACTGAAGAATGCTCTGGGGGAAACTTTCAATAAAACTAATAAAAATCAAAACAATTGCTCCTGGTTTTTTTCAGCCTAATTTGACTAGGGAAAAAAAAGAGCTCATCTTGTGCAGCTGCCTAATTTCCAGGAGGATTAATCTTTTACTTGGGGACTCATTTTCATTTCATAGAAGTTGTCCAGGGAAATTCCAGCAGGGACTTTGGGAAGCTGGGAGAGAGCAAGCAGGGAGGCTGGCCGTACTTGAGCAGGTTCCATCTGGCATGAGCATGTAGCCATTCAGGCAGTAGCACTTGTAGCTGCCGTAGGTGTTCATACAGCGGTGCTTGCACGGCCGTGGCTTTAGTCCACACTCATTCAGATCTGAAATGAAGGGCACAAGGGAAGAGGGTGGGAGAAGAAAACACACCAGGCATGCGTGGAAAAACTGCCAGTTCAAGCTGCTGGAGGAGGAAGGAAAAACACAGCAATTAGCTTTTTATACGCAGCTCAGCTGATAGCAAGCATCTAAAACATCCTGCACGAAGCGCTGTTCATCCCTCCAGCCAAACAGCTTATTTGGCTTGGTTTCATAGATGTCTTTTCAAAAATAACAGTATTAGCATTAGATGAAGTGCCAGCTGCTTCATTAGGCAACACACAAGCTCAGGCTGGCCATGTCTTGCCACTATTCACATTGATGCCATGTCCAGGACCAGGCAGCACTCGGAAGAGGAAAGAGGAGAGAGAAAGCAAAGATCACTCTGCAATCACTATCAGTGCTTCTGATAGCAATTCAGTGATTCACTATCATGCTTCAAAATTAGTGGCAGAGGAAGGTAGGAAAGCTGATGCCAACTTACTCTAAAAAATCTCACAGAGAAAATTCAATCCCTATCATTGAAAAAATACTAAAAGAAAGTATCTGACATCAGCTATATTTGTCAAGGACCATCCATGAGGGCTAGCATTTCAGATTTACAATTTAATAGAGAATTCATGGTTTGAACTGAAAATATTCAGCCTAGAGTTTCCATATTAGAAGATAGAAGTTCAAACAAGAAGATGATTTCCTTCAGAATTCTCTTCCAAGAATGTGTTGATTTTGTCTGAGTAAGCCAGAATAATTTGTCAGTTATTATTGTTGCTAGTTATTTGCACAGTTATGAACAAAGATGAGAACAAAGAAGAAAATAATAAATCTATTCACAAATCTAGCCAGTTAGGACCTAAGAAAATGAGTTATCAACCATCATCTCTAATACTGCACCATGCTGTCTGGAGGTCTTTTGCAGACAGAGAATTGCCATTTTTTCCAGAAGTTTTCCAAAAGGCATCTCCCAGTCCTAAGCACCATCATATCAAGTGTCAGTCAATCCATGCAGGAGAAAAGTAAGCCCTGAGGCTCCCATCATGTCATAGATACACACACAGTAGCCACTTCATAAAATGCCAGCTGAGGAGGTGACAGATGCCTCCTGTGGACTAGAAGCAAAGGCTCAGGGTTAAGATGCCGAACCAGAAAGATAAACAATGGTTGCAATGAAATCAGTAATTTATTGATTACTTTTCAGAAGTAAAGTCGAAAACTTAACTGGGTCTGTGTAGTAAATGGAGTGAGAAAAATTACATTCGCTGTGGAGGTGAAGTTAGAGAAAACATTGATTCTAGACAACTACACCTGGAATTTTACAAGTTCTTAATGTCTGGATTTTAAATTTGTCCTGAAACTCTGCAATCCATTGGTTTGTGTGAGTAACATTCTTCATCTTACTGTTTTCAGGCAAAATATTTTTAAATTGCATTCTAAAACTGAGAAATACATTCCATTTCATTTTGATTGGTAAAAGGCAGAGCCATCAAGAGAAAAATACATGTATCACACTACAAGTCACTGATGTAATCCAAACTCAGCTGCAAGGATGTTGCCTGTTTTGTCACTGCTGTTCCTGAGAGCTCCTAACAGTGTTTACATGTATCATTAAACTTGCTGTCTTCTGACCTACTTTGCTTCCATCTTCTTGGGGTGAAGGAATAGCGAGCATCATGCAGACATGGCCCTCCCCAGAGCCCTTCCCCTTAGTTCATTTCCCAAGGTCTCAGGAAGAACAGCATGTTTAAGGACAAGAATGCCTCCTGCTCCCCTCTTCTGCAAGACAGCAGCAGTAAGGGATGTAATTTTCCATTTCTACCTGTTAAGGCTGGACAAGATGTTTCCAGAAAACCTGAAGGGGAATACTTCGTCCTCAAGTGGTGAGGAAGATCAAGTGAGCCTAAGCAGGACTTCAGTGAGGAAAGATTGCCAAATAAGGGCATGACCTGTGCATGATAAAGAAGGAGTGATGACCACCTCTGCCATCTTCCTGGGGACCACGTGCTGCAGAGACAGCATCCCTTTGCAGCTCTCACTCTTAGGGAGCTGGAAAAAGTTTCAGGAGTTGCAAGGAGAGTATTCTTCTCACAGCAGGCACCAATGCCACACTCCCAAGAAAGTACCTCCTGGGTTTGAGAGAAACAGCTGTAGAAGAAAGTACATTTTGTCCTGTGAAAGCAGGGTCCTCTGCTGGGAGTTGTGACTATGGGTATATGCCTAGGCCAAATGGAAATGCAGCAGATGATTATGCTACAGGGCAAGTTCTCATTGTGGAATACTTCATGTGAAAAAAAGGTTTACATAAAAATCTCCAATAATAAGCAGATGAAAGTTCACATTTTAAAAGGCAAACTTCTCTTGGCAGCACAAAAAAATAAAAATTGTTTTTTCATTTTTCTGTAAAGCATACCACAAGTAGGCAGTTCCTGACAGACAGTATAGCTCTATTAATATATTTATTATGCATGCAATGTGTCTGTTAAAAAAGTCATTGTTACATTCAAAAACTCTGTTAGCATTTGATTTCAATTCATAAATGTATCCCCAAGGAACCCATAGTAATGAATATACTGAAGTTCACTGACAGCCATAATTTTGAAGTAAGAGAAAAAAAAGTTCTCTTAGTCTAAAATATTTGTATTCTTCCTATTTTCTACAAAAATAATCACTTTACAAAATAAAGGTATAACAGAGGTAAGTTTAAAATATTTAACTAGAAGTAGGGACAGAATAAGGAAAAGTAACACTGAAATTAAGTTGACAGGGCAGGATTTTAACACTGCCATGTGTTAAGTTCTAGTGTTTAAATTCCACTGCACTTCAGATCCTAAGTTTAGATTCTCCTGACTACTAAAGAACTGTCATGCACTTACTTCCAGAGTTATGACCACAGACTCAAAGCTGCAAATAAGAATTTACGACTATTCCCAGTATATCACCCTGCATAGAGTATAAATTACATTATGAGCCTTAAAATACTGGATCCTTTTACAGGACTCTGAATTATACACCACCACTTGATACAAAGTATTCTTAGTACAGAAATGAAAGCTCTGATATTGACAAATAGACACCTATTAGTGACATACTGTGAGAATAGTATAAAGTGCAACACTATTAAAAAGTTAAACAAATCCATTTAATTTCTTTGTGGGAATGTCCACTCAGTGTCCTGGATTTGAGAATTTCATTTTTCAATATTTTAATTTCCCACATTGCCTACAATTGACAGCCAATGCAAAACCAGCACTCTTGATTTCAAAGTAATCCCAGGCAGTAGAGTACATAAAAGCAGACTGTTTTGGCCACTATTGGAAGCAGGTTTATAACCAAAACAAGCTGCTGAGCACAGGTATTTTATATCTAAAGGAATTAAATGAAATGTGAGTGCAAGGGAAGGACAGAGTGTTATGCTGGCAAACCCGGATGTGACTCCTTTGACTGCTGCACTGCACCACACATGGTCTTGGACCAACTTCAGTGCACACCCAACAACAGGCCACTTATTTCTAAGCAGATTCAATGCCCTCTGCTATTTTCTTTTAATTTGCTTCTGCAGACTTCAGCACTCAAGACTTTTTCTGCCTTTTTTGCCTATCATGTAACTTGGATCAGGCCACACTGAAGTTAAACATTCAATATCACATTTACCCAACTCTGAAAATAGAAATCCAAGGACCAGAAACCAAGTAGAAAAATTACACTGTTATCACCATAATATAAACAGTAAATCAGCTTTCATTTCTAGCAATTGCAATCATACTACCATGTCAACTTCATAAGAGATATCTATCACCTGAACAGTTCTGTTCACTTAGTCTGACTAATCAACAGCTGACAAATTGAATTTTTTTAGCCCTCCTTTTCTACAACTTCCAACTTCATCTAAATCACAGTTTTGTCTTTATCTAACCTGATAAACAATTTCCATCACTATCACTTTACACAGGAACTCAGAAAAGGAAAAGGGCGTGCTCTGAAAGAAGTGCAGAGGAGAGAAACAATGCAAGTGACAACCACAAGTATGGAAGAGCCAAAACTTTTCAAAACGCACACAACAGCACCAAGGAAATACAACCAATTATTTGCTCTGCATGCTAAGGGTACTGCAGGTTGAGCTCTCACATCCCAGCCATTGATGGGTCTATCAGCCTCCACTCCCTTTGCAGGAAATTGCACTCCTGTTTGAAGCCGTGCAGAGAGGAGGAGCACAACACCTGGGACACAGGAGCACCTCACCCCTCACTGCTACATTTCCTGCAGGATGATCGAGGGGGTGGAACACAAGAGCTTCCCTGCTCTGACCAAGTAGACTTGTGTACAGCTGCACATCTTCATAGGATAGGGAGAAGGGATAATAAAAACATGGCAATATGCATTACTTCACTTAATAAATATACATACATATCAAGTGCTGACAAGAATTTCAAGCAGTGAACTTTGCATCATTTTCCTAGAACAAACAAGGTAAGAGAATTAAAAGTTACAGAAAAGCAGCCTTAGATTTTTTTGGATAAAGACAACCTTTCCAGCCAAAGAAAGTTAACCTGCATGTGCTTTAGATTTCTAGCAAAAATTATATCTATTTATATTTGTCCTACTGAATATTATCTGTATTTTCTTCAAGAGCAGCTACCAGAAAAGTGTTTCTGATGAACACATTTGGAAAGTATGAGTTCTGTTGTTATCACTATAAATTAAGAGAGGTGGCAGAGGGTATTTTCTCTCAGGTGGCTCTGTACAGCTGTAAAGCTGGGATCAAAAAGCCAGAAGGGAAACACCAAAGCTATTCAGGAGATATGAATGCTGTAGGGAGAACACAAGGTTAGCTCTTGTGCAGCCACTGCAATTTGATTGCTGAGGATAGCAACATAATTAAAAAAGTATCAGGTAGTCTTAACTTCTGAGTGATCTAAAGTGAGGTATGGATTGTCAAGCAGCTGCAGTACCACTGGAAAATGACAAGCATCCAGCATCATCACACAGTCAGGGCTGAACAGCTCTGCTGTGAGGCTGGGCTGATCTCCTGGATCAGGTTTATAACAAAGAACACAGCCTGATCCGTGGGGCACATGAACAGAAGAGATGTAAAGCCTGTTTATCAGAGCTTGTACTCCAAGAAAGCCTTTCATTAGGAACATGAGCATACTTTACAGCCCAGATTCACGCATGCTAGAAACACTTCCATCTCTGCAGGGAACTCCAACATCTTCTCTGCCAACATTGTTACTCCTGTTACTATTCTAGAACAGGATTGAGAAAATGGGCCACAGGTTGAACAGGGCAGGTGCTGTATTAAGGTGTTGTATTATAACAAAATAGGTCACATTTATCCCGTGCCATTTGAATCTCCTCCCAGCAAAAGCAGACTCTGCATTCACTGCACACTTTCAAGCCTCATCCAAACACTGAATCAGCACACAGCAAGAACACAGATCATGACCCCAGGAACAGCTCCAGGGTCCCACCATGCAGTAGAGCAGCAGCAGCCACCTGAACTGGTGCACATTTGGGGCACCACAGTCAGCTGGCATCTCAGAAACCTCGTCTACATCTGCCAGGGAAGCTTTGTAACCAGCACCATGCAAGAATATTTCATCAAAATTGCCCAAAGTGCTTCCTTTGATAACCCATCACATTTTTCCTTCCTTAGCATTTAGTGGCAAGTAAATAGTTTAGTTCAAAACTGAAGCCTCCAGCAATTTGCAAAGCATTTTTTCAATATTGTTAAACTATTGACTACCTATAAAAACTGTTACACACACATCTAAGTGTGTGTAGTTCACTGCACTGTTTTCTAAAATTGCTTTGGATTGATGAAAACGTGTAGAATAAAATCAAAACAACGCATCCTTTAAAATGTCAGCCCAGAGTAAGGGGGGAAAAAAGAGAGGATAATATAAGAGATGATGGAAACTTTTGAGAAAACTGAAAAACACAGCACACATTTTCACATCAGTTTGAGAAGGATTAGTAAATCTGAAAATAAATACGTATCTATTTTTAAAGAAAATAACTTAGTCTAAAAATCAAACTGTCATAAGAAATTTAGCAACATCAGAATACATCCTTAAAGAAAATCATTCTAAATATCACACTTTTCTACCATACTTTTCTCAGCACTCAGAAAATGCACAAATTTTCCTGTAGACTGAGAAAACTACAAAAGAGATATAATTGAGATATCTTTGTGTGTGAACATGTCTTAGCCATCAAAGTCTAAAAATCACATTTTACAATTCTCTAATTGTTTATACTCTATGATCTTTATACTATTACATGCTTTGGACATAACTTTTGAGAAAAAACCCCAAACAATGAAACTTGATATTCCAGTAAGAGAAACTTCATCCTTACTCTGACCCTTTATTAGTTTAATGCAACCTTGTTAGCTCAGGATTAGGAACACTAAAATGAAAATGCATTAATTATGAGGTTTTTAATGAAACAAATATTATTCCACTATTCAAATCTGAAAACTGTGACTTTATAAAAAGCAACAATCCTGACCATAAGGTTTAAATAATTTGCTTCTGATTAAGGAGAGCAGGTAACTACATCCTATATATTAATCTCAATGATTTCTTCTGAATGAAAGCAATTTTGACCCTGTGTCATCCCACTGCAGATGTCAATCTCTCTACAAAAGTCAGTCCAAATATCAGACTTGCCGCAGCAGTAACAGACCTGGCATATGAGTTCATTACTCTATAAACAGAGGGGACACACACAGCATTGGTAGGGGTAGGTACAGAGATCAACAGTACTTCCACGATTTCAAAAATAAATTCTTTCTTACCTTGGTTGCAAGTTTTTCCAGTGTATCCTGGGTGGCACTTACACTTGTTTGGCCCAATGCATTCACCGTGTTTGCACCCTGGCTGGCATATAGCTGCAAACAGAGGAATACTCATTATCTTTCCACTCCAGTCACAGCTGACAGTGAAATGTCTTTGAAACTATTGAATATTTCAATAATTTGAATATTTGAATTATTTCAAATTACTTTGAAATAAACAGCAACTACCTAACAAATAGAAATACTGTCTATGTTATATTCAGAAAATAAATACAGAACTCCAAGAAATAATAGAAAGGCATTTTTGGCACCTCTCTCAATATGACACAAACAAAATTCATAAAGCAAACATTCGAAACTTCAATAACAAATAACAAAAGCATAGTTTTTGAATAAATATAAGAATTCATGCACAAATATATTTTTGCTGATGTAGGATTAGCCAACAGGAATATTTTCTTGTGTAACTGAAAAACATTCAACAGATTAAAATTTTAAATAGCATTTCTAAGTCCTTTGCATTAGAGACGCTTTTCTATTATTAAACCTACTGGAAAAATGCAGTATTTACTATGCTCTAAGATGTTGTTTATCATTATATGACAAAATGCAGATACACAATCCGGCCGAGCTCTCTGCTAAAGCAAGATAGATACAAAATAGACAGAAATCAGATGGTAGCATAACTTGAATACCTTGTAACCAGGATTTATCTATTTACCCCAGCTTAAACTTCATTTTATAAAGTAACAGTATCATTTGAAATCTGCAAGTAACTAACCAGATCCAGATGCAATGTTAATCTGACAACAACGGGCTGTATCATAAAACCAGATATATTGAGGACATAATTTAACAGAAATCTCCCAGAATGCACTTAAAAATGTAATTTGCCTTCTAGCCGAGCTGTTCAACACAGTTAAATTAAACAGAAATTAAAAAAAAACAACCAACCAAACAAACAAACAAACAAGATATTTGGTTTGGTTGTGGAAGAACCATCCAAGTACTCCTTTGATGTTCTGAAAATCTCCATAAGATTCAAGGCATCCAGAACTGGATATTCCCACAAATATATCCAGAGAAGTAACTGTTAGCATAGAAGGAGTTTGCTCCAGTTTTAGGACTGCCTTTATTTAGGACTGTTTCAGGACTCCCATTGTTATCAGGCATGGGTTTTTGTTTAAATGTAGTATATATATATATAATTAGGGATATATCCTGAGACGATAAAACCTTATTTTAAATCTACAGTTCTGCTCCTGACGGATCTTCCTAGTATGATGGCAAAGTCTCTTTCCACACAACTGTTAAGAATATCTTAAAAGGCAACAGAAATGCAAGATCTTTGTTAATTTTTTTTTTTCCCCCCCAAGAAACAGTGTCTGGAAACAAAGAAATGAGATTCATATTTAGAAACACCTCTCAATGGAAGTGTAAGGGAAAGGAGCTTCTCAGCCTACTCAAAGGGTGTGCTTCAGGAAGTCTGTCCTTGGGTAATGGACAGGTCTGACTGAAGAGCATCTGATCCACCATGAGACACTTCTAGAACATTGTACTTGGAAACACTCACTGCTTTTTTAGTCATTATGGCCATCAACAGGAAAAAAGGATCTCCTTTGTTAAGAGTTCATTTAGATGCTGAGATTTTTGTCTTTCTGGCACCACAGACCCAGGTCTAATCAGAGATGATGGTGGTAAACTGAGAACTATGAAGACTAACTTAATGACTTCAAAGCAACCAGGGAAAAACAAAAGTTGCGATCTAAACTACAGTAGAGAAAAAAAATTACTATAAATATGCTTTGGAAACTTGCTTGAATTTTCAACTGCACTTTAAAGATCTGTATTGTGAAGTGGGATACACTTATTTAAATCAGTTCTTTTTAAGAAACAAGAAATACCATGGGATCACTTTGTGTAAAGTGTAACAGTTCAGTAATTGTTAGAAGAACCTGCGGCAACTTTAGTTTTAGCTGAATTTTTATGCCTTGGTCCCTCCTTCAATTGCAGAGATTGTACATTAGCAGCAGCTCAGCTAGAGAAAAAAAAATCTTATACTTGAAGACAAAAATCTCTATTATTCCAAGGAAAGCTTTCAAATGACTAGCAAACCACTGTCCATAAAGCCAGTCATCATAAAACACAGGGGGTTTTGCACATTAAGTGGGTATTTGGAAACCTTTGTTTGCTGCCAAACACTGTTCTTGAGGAAAACCTGTTTATTAGAGTACATTCTATAAACTTGGGCTACTTCAGCATTACAAATCTTATTTAGACACAGCTGAAATTCAATACAGTATTAAAACTGAAGAATTTCTATATACAGGAAAAAAATGCTTTGCAGTAGGCTTAAAAACATCTGTAGCTCAGCCAACACCACAGATAAAACTGATGGCATTTCCTATGAGGAATCAAGCCACCCACAGGATAAAGCTTGTGCATCTTCCTATTAACTTTATCGGGGCCTCGCAGGGTGCTCAGGACTAAAGAATCAGATGGTTCAGCCAAGTCTGCATGCCTGGCTGGGGTCCCTACTGAGCCCTACCAGAATGGCCAGGCCCAGAGGGGTGGGTCAGCTCCAGCCCTGCCATCTCCAGCATGAAAATCCTTATTCAAAGGAGAAGCTGCCCATACAAGGCAGCAAATCCACTCACTGACTCCCAGTGAGCTCTATTTGAACACTGGCAACAACCAGATGCAGGTACAAAAATAAGCTTAAGCCAGACTTTCAGCATTTCTTTTAATAGCAAACAATTATTTCAGCTGTTTGGCATGAGTCAGAGCATACACTACATGTGCTGATGTGACTGGGTCCTTTAATTCTCCACTCTACTTGTTTTCCTGCAAAGCTCCAGATACAACAGAACAGAATACTTCAGTCACTCCATTCACACACAGACAAATGGAGTTTCTGCATTTCTTTGAAAACAAGTAGACTCACAAGTAATGGAGAAAAAAAGTCTCCCAATTACTACTTTTTGCCTCTTGAGAATTTAAGAATTTCTCCACAACCAATAAACCATCATTTCCTTCCAAGTGACCCACATTTACAATGACTGAAATAACCCACGTCCCTGGATTTCAGCCTGTTATGTAACACTTGCTTCCCTACTAGGAAAGAAGGAAACGTAGACAGAAGGGTTGCTCCAAGTTGAGAAAGTCACTCTCTAATGAACACAGGGCAGTGAAATCCAGAAGGGTCTGAAAAGGACTGCCAAAAGCCAGTAAAAACTTTCTACTCTTTATAATAGTAACTTTTGTAAACAAAAGTTAAAATTATACTGGCACAGACAAGTGCCACTCAAAATGAGACTGCTAATTAACTGTTGAACCAGTATCAAAGCAGACCTACCACATCCAAGGATTACTCTCTGAAAGCTGTTAAGCTGAACTCCCATTGGGTAGGAATGTGGATTGACATGGACAGAAAAAAAATCCTAAGCACAGCAATTTTCATTTTTAGTCAAGTCTTGCTTTTTTATCTCTGACACAGAATAAACTATAATTAAACTTTCCTTTTCACTTTATTGACCAATTCATTCAAGAGATAATCAGCAAAAAATAAAAAAAACCTCTCGTCTCATGATTATTCACTTCAGTTGGATAATTTTAAATGCTTTTTTCTTGGGTCAGATGTGAAGATTTGCTCTCAGTTCCCATTAACTTCAAGGAGGTATCCTAGGGCCTTTTATTTGGCCATAAATCTGAGTACCTTTTTTCAAGGTTGGCAGGAACTACCTTTTCCCCCCAAAATAAGGTGACAAATACCACATTTTAAGTCTCACCTAAACTTCAGGACAAATTAATCTTCCTGTAAAAATAACACGAGGAATTGAAATGTGAATGGGTGGTTTGGGTTTATGATGGATTGTTTGTTTTTTTCTTTTTTTTCAAGTGTGAAAGAGTGGAAGAAAGAATTTCTGGTGAAGTGCACATGCTGCTAGCATGCATTATGCTCGTGAAAAAGCCAGAAGCCACCAATCTTCTGAGCCACTGCTTGCTGTTGGTGTTATCCAAGCATTACTCAACCATTCTGAATTATTATTTTTAATTGTTGCACAAATACAACAAATGAAAAACACATTCAACAATTTCATTATGGGTCTGTAATGCTGGAAGATGTTTTGATTTCATCTGTATTTTCTCAATGCACCCAGTTCCCTCACAACTGCTTTGGAAGTGCACCTCAGACTCGGTCAGATCCTCTGCACTAAGCTGCCACTTTTGAGGGCATGGGTGACTACCACATGCTGTCCCCTCTATTCCTTCTCTTCTAGAATTTTAACATTAATGATCTCTTTGTTGACTACCAAACACTCTTTGGTGGAGTCCTCACCAGAAGACTGCACTGCCTGGTTCCTACCTGACTAATTCCTCTTCATTTGCGGCCAGCAATGGAAATCCCTCAGCTTTCTTAATAGACTGTTCCTAGCAATTGAAATTCCCTTTGGTCTTCCAACACTCCTAGCTATGTTTTTCATTAAAACAGCATTGGGTATGATTCTTACATTCTTTTTCTCTGCTTTGTCTCCCAATTTCTGAACTTCTTTTTCATCTCTCTGAAGCCTAAAATTATGCACAGAAATACCTGCATCTGAACCAAGCTATGCTAACCATCTGCCTGAATGGCCTTGTTTCTGCCTTCTCTTCCTGAGTAACATACAGCCCCCTATTTATTCTGACTCCAGATCCCAGCTCCTTAAAATTCAATTTGCTCAGGCACAGCAAGTAATTTGTGCAGCAGCCCAGAAATGATTACACAGTGTATTCAGCTTCACAAAACTTCATTGGATCCTCTTACACTGCTGATTGCAGAACACATTTCCCATCTTCAGATCATTTCTTACATTCCCCCCAGTACCAGCTTTCTAACAAGACTTGCATGTAGGTGAAAGAAGCTTTCCTCTAGGCTGCCTCCTCCACCTGAACCTGGGTGACTTCCTCCTGTGGTGCTCACAGACCACAACACCAAGTTCCATAATACTTCTCTCCCTCAGAGGCAGCTGCAGCTCACATCTCTCTCTCTGTTTACCTTTTGCAATTCTTTATAAATTATGCAATCACATAAACATGCTCAGGAAAATGAAACTACCTTATTCACAGTAATTTTGATCTAGGATCCCAAAGGTATGAGCTAAGTTATAAAATAAATCATTGTAGATCTTTCAGAGCTGCATATTTCTTCTTTGTTCAACTACATACTCCAATTACTCACAACTGCAAGAGAATGCATAAAGCTTATCCCACCTCAAAGTTACTAGAAGGTGGTAAAAACACATCATACCCATAACTCTCATTAGGAAATTACTTCTGGAAAAGTGACTTTGCTTCCCAAGTAAGTGAATTAATAGTCACAGAATATATCTCTGCAGAGATTAATAAGCCTGACTAGGACAACTGGGTATTAATTTTCAGATAATTTCATCTGCACAATGCTTCTTAATCTATTTCTTGGGGAAGATAATAAATGTCCTTGACCAGCTTCTGTAACTAGAAACTGACAATAACATCAGACAAAATGGTAGTATCTAATGCCTGAACACTTTTTCAGAAATTATTTGCCCTTATTTGTGACATTCATGATGTCAAAATGTTCACGTTTTTATCTGAAACATACATTTTATTAAGTAAGTGGCTCCTTATTTTTCATGCACACCTCCAACACTTACCCAAGTAAATCAGTTACTCAGTTTGCACTTCTGATTCTGGTAACAGCACATTAACATGACAAACTGCAACCAGTGTGGGCCATTCACTGCAGTGAATTCTTGCCTTGGCTATGACTGCTGCCAAATGTGTTTCTAAACCACACAGACAAATCCAGACTCTGGCTTATGAATGCCTTGATATTCAGAACAGCACTACACAGCATGCATAACTTAAGCATGGGTAACACTGAAATCAATATGATTTACTGAAGTCAGTGGAAGTTAATCTAATGCTTATACACTTAAATACTCTTTCTTAAAAATCAGCAGAAATCTGATCTAACACACACAAAATTAGAAAAGCAAGAAATACTTCATGCTTTGTCAAGTTCGGGTTTGCATTTCAAGTGGTTCGCTAAAACTGCTTAAAGAATGGTGCTTATCATCTCAAATGCCTGTTTGTTACCTGAATTTTTCTATGTGTTCACAGAATTCCAACAGGTAGAAATGGGATAGCATGAGTGTCTCTGTGTGGTGACAAAAGACCAACTGGGTCCTACTGATATTTTGTTTATTCCAATATAAAACATCCACTGGCTTCAGCAGTGTAACTTCTGTATCACAGCAACAAAGCTGATTTCACACAGAGATGAATGGCTGACTGCTTTGCTCCTCCCTGTGTGAGACTTGTGCCTCTGCCACAGGGAGTGCGAAAAGAATCACAGAATCTCTAGGTTGGGAGATATCTTCAAGATCATGGAGTCCAACCCATGCCCCAACACCTCAACTAAACCATGGCACTGAGGGCCACATCCAGTCTCTTGTTAAACACATCCAGGGATGGTGACTCCACCACTTCCCCAAGCTGACCACTCCAGTACTTCATCACTCTTCCTGTGAAAACTTTCTCCTAATATCCAACCTATATTTCCCTTGGTGCAGCTTAAGGCTGTGTCCTCTCATTCTGTCAGTGCTGCCTGGAGAAAGAGACCAACCCCCACCTGACTACAGCCACCTCTCAGGGAGTGCAGAGAGTGATAAGGTCACCCCTGAGTCTCCTTTTCTCCAGGCTAAACACCCCCAGCTCCCTCAGTTGTTCCTCACAGGGTTTGTGCTCCAAGCCCCTCTCCAGCCTCGTTGCCTCCTCTGGACACGCTCCAGCATCCCAGTGTCCTTCCCAAACTGAGGGGCCAGAACTGGACACAGCACTCAAGGTGTGGCCTCACCAGTGCCCAGTACAGGGGAAGAGTGACCTCCCTGCTCCTGCTGGCCACACCATCCCTGACACAGCCCAGGATGCCATTGGCCTCCTTGGCCACCTGGGCACTCTGCTGGCTCATGTTCAGCTGGCTGCCAACCAGCACCCCCAGGTCCCTTTCCTCTTGAGCACTGTCCAGCCACACTGTCCCCAGCCTGTAACATTGCAGGGGTTATTGTGGCCAAAATGCAGGACTCAGCACCTGGACATATTAAACTTCATCCCGTTGGATTCCATCCATCCATCCATCCAACCTTTCCAGGTCTCTCTGCAGAGCCCTCCTACTTTCCAACAGATCCACATATGCTCTCAGCTTAATGTCAGCCCCAAATCTGCTAATGAAAGACTCAATCCCCACATCCATGCCATCAATAAAAATATTGAACAGAGCTGGCCCCAGCACAGACCCCTGAAGGACACTCGTGGTGACAGGCCACCAGCTGGATGCAGCACTGTTCACCACCACTCTCTGGGCCTGGCCATCCAGCCAGTTCTGAACCAGCAAAGAGTGCTCCTGTCCATGCCAGGGGCTGCAGCTTTTCCAGGAGTGTGCTGTGGGAGACAGTGCCAAAGGCCCTGCTGAAGTCCAAACAGACAACATCCACAGCCTTCCCTGCATCCATCAGGAGGGTCACCTGCTCATACGAAGAGACCAGTTGGTCAAACACAACCCACCCCTCCTAAAGCCCTGCTGGCTGGGTCTGACACCCTGGCCATCCTGGAAGTGCTGTGTGATGACACTTGGTATAAATTGCTCCATAATCTTACCAGGTACTGAGTAAGGTTATGGAGCAATTTATACTGAGTAACCTTACCAGGTACTGAGTCTATGATTACCAGGATCCTCCTTCCCACCCTTTTTGTGAACTGGTCACATTGGCCAGCTTCCAGTCCTCTGGAACCTCCCCAGTGATCCAGGAACAAACGAGACACATCAGTTCCTAAGTAGCCGCACACTACAGCCCTGGGTACCAATGTGGTAAACTATGTGGATTTCATTTTGCCAGGTTCTACACTGCTGGAGACCAAGGGCTGTAAAGTTTCCATGTTCTGGGAAGGAGAACCTGTAGTGGAAGTGCAAAGCAGGCAGTGGGGGGCAATAAGTGCCTCAGCCATTCCAAAATAACCTCTCACTGCACATGATTCAATGCCATGAAAGCAAATTAGGCCTCCTAGGTCTGACGGCTTGTAAATGCATTGCTGGTAGTACAAACAATTTGCAGAAATGGAAAAATACTGCACAGGGCTTGAGGGTAAAATAAAGAAAAGGAGTAAAAAGGGAAAAAGTGCCATATTTTAGAAAATAAGTATATCATTGTATAGGAGTCTGGGATAAAATAGCCCTGTTAATTTCTTTCCCTCCTCATCTTCCCCAAATCAAATGCTTAAAAAACGAAAAACAACAAAAAATTACCTTCTTGTCACATATTAAAATTTTCATGTAAACTTATGACTTCAAGGCCATAACTCCAAGTCATAAACTTGCCAAAATTATTTCAAGAAATATGTTCAGCTAACCTTTGGGCTGGCACCTTAGGCTGGCTATTCTCTGCCTTAAGACGTAGAACGCTGCAAAACAAATCCAAAAGAGAAATTCCAGCTTTTTTTTTTTTTTCTCTGTAAGGAGGATGGACTTGGCTGTGGTTTTTATCAACTTGTTACATTCCTGGAGAATTACATACATTCAACATTCAGAGCTTTTCTGAAATAAAAAAAATTCTAGTACACATTTAAAAATGGAAATACCTTACACCAGTATCTCATTATGAGATTTAACAAACACATTCTGATACATAAGAGTAATTAAATATAATGATGTGATGCTATTCTTATTCAATCAACTAAGGAACTACACTTTGTCAAACTTCATACAGTAAGTAGTTGTAAAAATTCTCACGTTTCATGGTTCGGGTTCAACATGTCCATCAACAGAGCACAAATGCTTTTCTTAAAGACACAGTATCCTTTCATTTAAGTGCGAGTATATATTTTTAATTTAACACTGTCTTCACAGCTGAAACACAAAGGCCTAGCATCTGGATGCTAATTTGAGAGCAATTAAAATTACATCCATTTATATGTATCTGAACATCTGCAACCAATAAACATGTTGGCACACAAATTTACTGGTCATTTTTATAACATCTAAAAATGTAATGTCATCTAAATTAAAAGTAATACTTATTTTAAAAGAAACCTTTTCAGCTCTTGCTACCACATGAAACAAGATATGCTACAAAACTTAAATAAGATGAAAACACAGGCTATTTGGAATCAATTTATTTGCCATAAATTAATGTTAGCAGCATGGCTTGTTAGGCTACACAGCCTTGTGATAGCAGGCTGGGACTTGAGCAACAGCAGCTCTTTGTATTTTAAGTAGTGTGTGACCAACACTTCAGGGTTTTCTATGATTGCAACTTATACTTGTTTAAATTGGTTTTAACTAGGAAGTCCCTTAGCCTTGGTTACAGTAAAAAGAAGCTCCTCAGGTTGTTGCTGGGCTTTCAGAGAAGATGCAATTATGAATGTACTACAGTTGCAATTGTCAAATTGATTACTGATGACATTTCCTTAGAAAAAAGCAGGCTGAAAAACTACTAATCTACATATGAAGTGCATGAGGAATGCAGTAGGGAAATGGAAAAGGATACTGTATCTTTAACACAGTCAAGTCATGCTTTAAAGACCTAAAGGATCTAAACTGGGAAAAAAAATTGAATAAAAATAGCAAAACCTCATTTTTATTCTTGAATAGCAGTGTAAAGCAGTATTGCAATTCTGTATAAAATGCCTTTTCTTTGAAAAGTACCAGGGATGCACAAAAATATCAGTCATTTTATAAGAAGCAGACATGCTTCATATCAGTATTTATTAAACACTGCCGACACAATGCATTAATTCAGTTGGTGATCTTGCAACCCCAAATTCAGTAGCAAATTTCTTACTGACTTTAGGGATGTTTCTTTTAGTGGATCAGCTTCCTAGAAACCCTTATTTTCACAGGTCATTACTGACAAAATCATGGTTTTATTTTGTGCATCTTGGACTATACAGAATTGCCATTTCCACTGAAAGCAATGTTACATGCAGGAAACAGAAATCCTAAGCTGCCCATGGCCTCTTCTCCCATTGATGTGTTGGATGATTTATATGGGTAAATCAGCTTCAACTTCATCTTTACCTATACAAAATCTCCTTCTAGGCATCAATGAGAGCACAGACACTGCTTCCTCCCCCTCCCACCACCTCACACCCCTGTAAGAGATTGCACAGAACAGGTACACAGCCTTTGAGCTCATCAGGACAGCAGCAGCACAGACACTGCAAGAGCCTTCCCAAGGGTTGTGAGAAGGCAGCAGCATGCACAGTTCCCAGCAAAGCAATCAGGTATGCCTGCATCTGCTATACATCAACTTGTACAAGCTCCTCTCTCTTGCAAGTGCTCTTTAGAACTTCCTGAAATCATATGCTTTCTACCAGGTTTGGCTAAATCTAAATGCCAGCCTGACATCCTTCAATTAACACTTTTTAGTGCTGCTAAGCTAAGGGGAGGTGTAAACTGATGATTTGACTTTATACATCCTTGACTGTTCTGTCCCTAGGCCTTTAAGCCAATTGTGGTGGAAAACTACTTTGTTGACCTACTCTGGGTTTGCTTTCCAGGTAAAAAACACTCAAACCTCAGCATGAGGAGATAACCAGATAGAGTTACAACCAATGGGCTCTCTGAAAGAGCACACTCATCTTCACCACCCCTTCTGGAGACAGACTGCATGGATTTTCTTACTGTTTAAGGAGAATTACACATAGAAATGGGTGAAGTCATCAAATATCACTGCTTACCAAACCCATGTTCAGTTAAATTTTATTTCTGTTAAGCATCTTCTGTTGGTCAAACTTTCTATCCATCAGACAAAATCTGCCGATTCCAACAGTCACACAGACTCAGGTCAGCAGAGGGTCTGACAGTAGATCTGTATTTGTTTATAGAAGCTGCAGATGTGGTCTTCTCTTCTGTATCTATTTTAACACAGCAAAAGGAACCATTTTTGCCATCATCTCCAGCAAAGGAGTTGTCCAAACTGTAATGCAGAATGAGAATTCAAGCCACTTCGTATTGCTTTTCTTCTAAAAATCCTGAACTTTTTAAATCTATGTTAAAATGTTATCTCTTTCCAGTTTTTTTGTGTTAAACTGCAGCTAAAATTTTGAAACAATCTTCACATCTGTAGTGTACCTTGACTACATATAACTGGTGTACAAATCAACTACAGACACACAGCCAGGTTCAAAGCAGGTATATTTTGTTCATGAAAGACACGCACAGAGGCAGAAATTATTTTTATAGCTTTTGAAAAAACTATAGAGATATTTGTAAGCCAGTTAAAAAAGAGGCAGACAGACCATTAGTTTTAAGAACAGTTTTGAGAGAACCTAGATAGATGAGTGGCAAAAATACCCACAAGAAATTATTTTTTGCATTTCTGCAAGATGAGTGCAAGGACCTGTGTCCTGACTTGGTTTTCCCTGTGTCCTTTAAAACCCCTTGAATGGGCTCTGGGTTAGGACAACACATTCAGTACCACAGATGCTGTTGCCTTACAATGCAAAAGCATTTAGGAATTAAAAATGCACTACTGATACCTGCTTTCAGCAAAAATACTGTGTCACAGGAAGTCACCTCCCCTGCTCTGAGAAAAGAAATCCAGAAGCAACTCCTTCTACCCTCACTTTTATTCTGGGTTATAGCTCAGCTGTGTGCACAACAGTAAGGCATAAAGCAAGAAAACAACTCCTCTATTTTTACACATATTTCATCAGGTACTTTATCAACATACCATCTTTCAGAGAGGTAGGCTTTTGTGTGATTATTCCCACTTACAGCTATTACTCCCACACCTACTAATTAAAGTGCGAGTAAATCCTGCAGGCTGGGCAACAACATGGGATTTTTGGACTAATTTCAAGTGGGATATTTAAGATCTAACTTTAGAGCATTGATGCAGCGAGTTCCTCAGTGTAAAAATTCAACCCTATCAATGACGAGGGTACTTCATGGGAGCACCAATAGTTGGTGTTTAAACATAATTTCTGTTGCTTACAAATTAGCCTTTCAATACACCAGGTTGAATTAATTAATCTTTTACATACCAAATCAAAATCTAAGAAAAGCTACTTAGTAATGTTAATGATGGAAGATATGCACAGTTCTAAATTGAAGCCACTAAACAAGAATGGATGGACTTTTAATTTACAAGGACTAAGAAATGCCAATGAATTTGAGTTACATTTGTTCAGACCCTTTGAAAACACGCCTATATTTTTATCAATCTCAAAATGCATTTGGCTGCCTAAACATGGATCTCAATTGGGTGTTCAAAACCCACAAGAGAGAAAAAAAAATCCAACCTCATTCAAAGTTCTTGATTCTTTCAGTTTGAAGGACAATTTCTAAGCACATTTACTGGAATTTGAAAGGGCATTTGGGAAGGGAATTTCATGTCACTGCAGAGTGAATACTTTTACTGGCTGAGATGTTACAGCTGACACTGACAGGCTCTGGAAGGAAGCTTACAGACAGATCAGACCTACGTGCACAAGTCTTGATTGGTGTAAAGAGGAGAGAGGATGTTGTAAAGAAAGAAGTGTAAATTAAAGGAGGGCCCTATTTCAACTTCTTCCTACATGTTTATAAGAGCAGAAGACAGCCGAGTTATTATGCTGAGTGACGTTGCTAAGCAGCACTAAGCATGATTATGCTCCACGTGCACTCCCTTGCCAGTCAAAGGGACATAAAAGGAATAACTTCACACTTCACAAATCCAAGTTTAACTAACACAGTTCAGTTTCCATTTGCAACTCTTTGGATGGATTATGGATGGAAGATCAGGAGCATGGAGTCACCAAGGCTTAAAGCCTTAATGACACTCGTCAGCTGCACCACACTCCGGCTCTGCTAGAGCTGACATATCCAAGCTTAAGCATTTCTCCCAACTATACCACTACCTTAAATCACACTGCTGGTTTAAATAAACACTTTTTTTTCTCAATAGCTGTGGGCAGAGGGCACGCCCACACCTGCTTGGTGGAACAGCTCAGCTGGACAGCAGAAAACATATCCAGGTATATCAGTGACCACGTGCCCTTGGCTCATCACAGTTCAGAGGTCTCTGCAAACTGGGACCACCCTATCATGTATCTGTGTGCCTGCTCCACTCTGGCTCCAGCACGTCTCTCCCCTTACATTTGTTGTCAGAAGGATAAATTTAGAGATAATTAGTGCTCGTGTGGTAAATTATGCATGAGTAAGCAGGTGAGAGTCCAAAGGTGCTGTAGCAGTTGCAGGCATACCAGAGATGGCTCAAGTTGGTTTGAAAAACAGCAGTTCCAACTCACTAATAAAGAGCTCAACATTATTGCCTAAATATTTGAAGCTTCTTTTTTGGACACATTTATGAATGTTGGGTCTCACTACTAATTTTTAAGCCTGACTCTATACTTGTTTTCCTTGTGCAAACAGAACTTCTACTAAAACACCAAAGAAAATGTACATCTAGTGAAGAAAGTCTGACATCTATTTATGCCACTCATTTTGGGGACAGGGCTAAGAGCTTTACCTTTGACCAGAGAGAAAGCAGAAGAAATTATCACGTACTCGAATTTTTGGAAAATTTTCAGTGATATTCCTTTGTACAGTAAAATACCCAAGTTTTCCTTTGAGGCCAGGAATGTTGCCTTCTGTGCCAGGTTATCCTACATACTGGGTGCCACATTCCCAAGGTGGAGAGTTGACTACAGATTTTCTATTTGGCTGCAAGCACTAGAGAGATTCATTTAGTGTAATCTCCTGCTTTGTGATATGTCTGGAATTTTCACCACCCGCAACTGGGGCAGATTTTCATGTTTTATTTTGCCAATAGTTTGTCTCCCATTTAGAACAGAGAAGGAGCTGCTGATGGTTTCAGTAATATTTTCACCTAAATATATGAGACTCTTCTGACCCTGCAATTCAAAAATTACCAGTATGTAAAGGGAAAAAAAGGGGGAAAATGCTTTTTGAGACCTAAGTGATGATTGTATTCTTTTGAAAGTCTGGTCCCAATTACTGGAGATGATCCCAGAAAATACCTATCTACATGTCTTCTAAATGTGCATGGAGACAAATTTGTGGATAATGGACTAAAATGCAGTGGAAGGAGGTGACAATTCACCTACCTTTAGCCTTAAGGAAAAGAAAAAAGCATTTATAGTATCTGGAAAAGCCAGCACTAAAAATTAACTTACTGACAGAATTCAAAGAACAACACATAAATTCTACTTTCTGTGTATTATTACTTTTGTCTCATTTCCAATTTTTAATTATGAATCTTTCGATAGTATAAATTTATGCAACTTCTGTCTCCCAATATCATAAAAATGCAAACACAAATCAGATTATGAGAAACTGACTTTCACCTAGACATGAACTGTAATTTATGGTCACAATATGGAAGACAACTTGTCTAAGAAAAGTGACACAGTAATCTGGACTGTTTTTGTTTGGTGTTTTTTTTTAAACAAAGCAGTTATTTATATTTTCAAGTTGAGCCTTCATAGCCTCAAACATTTAAACACACAATGATTTTCAAATAAAACTGCATCACAAAAGGTGGACATAGATCCTATTGCTTCTGGAGTAACCTCAATCAACCCACCAAATATTCTTCTTCCATCTTCATAAAATTCATACCAAGAAAAGGACTACTTGTTACTAATTAGAATCCTAAAAATCAAAATTATTCTTTGTATGGCCTGAGAGGTATCAACCTGAGATCTCTGCATCAAAGAAACAGTATCAGGGATGTTGTATTCCAGAAGTACTTTCCATAGTTTTTTACCAGTCATCTTATATATCTATTAAACCTTATGGGCTTCTAACATACTTAGGAAGAGAGAAACCAGTCTTGCTGCTTACAGATTTGAACAAAACCTTTGCTGAGAGTTGCATTTCCAATGCATTTCCTATCTTTTGCCAAATATTTGCCCTGCAGACTAGGAATTTACAGCATTTAACACCTGTTTTATTTTGAAAATGGCTTGACAGAAAATTAGCTCATCCACATATGTTTGTGTCTAAATAAAAAAAAAATAAAATTAAAAAAGCTAAGGACCAGTGTTTATAGGCTTGCTCCTCCAAAAACTTCAGGATGTCCCTCATGTATGAGTGCTAAACATGAGTAAGCATCCCCAGTATCAAAGGTTGTAATTTTAACTAGCTGAGGTCTCTAAGTCACTCCTAACAATTTTAATTTTTACACAGTACTAGCTGCCTCCACAGAATTCCTACTGAAGATGTAGTTTATGATGAAGACTTATCTAGTGGTTTATCCTGCAGTCATATCAAAGAGTCTAGATAGATGTCAGAATCTCAGAGATGTGTCTTTTCACGTGTGACCCAGTAAAAGGATGCTGTCAGGCAGATTTATTCCCTTAGTTTAGGTTTACTGAAAGAATACTTGAGCTTAATACTTAATTGGAACATTTCCATCAATGTTCTAAGTGAACTATCAGTAATTTTGGTTTCCTTCTTGGATGCAAATATTATCACCCTGCAGTGCCTGTAACACGACACTGTGTAGTTACAGCAGGTTATAAGATCAGAGTACAAAACAAAGCAGAAACCAAAAAGAAATTTCCAAATTCTCATTGCCCTAAATCCACTTTACCTTATTTGACTGCAATCATTTTTAGCACTGTTAAAAACAGACAGAATTTTAACATGACAGCATCCTTCTAAGTCAGGCAGGCGCACACGTGCAAAAGCCTAGCCCTGCATGGTAAGGATGTGTGTGAACATGTGAAAGACATGACTAGGTGTATACAGGCCTTCTCTACAAGTGACTAGAAGCCCCAGCAGCAGTGATACTCACGTTGGCACTGTCCCCAGGCCACCCGGGCCCAGCCCCAGCAGCAGTCAATTCTGCTTCCAAAGCGACACAGTCCTGCAGACGAGACCATTTGTCTGGGCCACCTGTACAAGACAGTTCCACAAAGTCTGGTAAAACATTGTAAAAGTTCAAACCATCAAACATTTTAAAAGCTCAAATCATCCTAGAGTAAAAAAAAAAAAAAAAAAAAAAAATTAATTTACCAACCAACCAACAAACCCCAAAGGACAAAGAACAGCAAAAACCTCTCCTGCAGAGATGTATAATTTTTTTTTACTTTTTTTGAAGAGAGTAACTGCTCTCTGCTGACCCTGGGATATTTCTATCATTAATACTTTGTTCACTTCAAAAAATGCAAACGACAATAGGTGAAGGGGGAAATGATAGTTCGGATAACTGAGCAAAGCCTGAAAAAGCTGACATGCTTTGCAGTATGCTCACTGCTGCCACTCCCAGGCTGGCACTGAACAGAAATTCAGAAGTCTGAAACGGAACCTATAGTATGGAATAAAGGCCACCATAAAGTTTAGGCTTTGTTTTCGTTCACAATATATGGCAAATTTACTCACTGAAACATTAAAGGAAAAAAAAAAAAAGAAAAAGAAAAGCTTCTTGGACTGTTAAACAGAAATTAAATATAGAAGGAGCACTGTAGTCTTCCTTTGTTCCAAGGAAAAGATACCACGGCCTCAAGCAGTTATAAACTATTGACACGAGTCAGTAATGTCTTTAAAGGACAGGCTGAAATCCCGTGAGCGCTGCGTTTGAACAGATGCGATTAAAAACAAAAAGAATCCCTGGGGAGGGCGGGGGTCGTGCTGGCCGCTTGTCCCGCAGGGCGCAGTGCCCGCTCCCTGCAGCGCTGCCGGTCGCGACACTTGACACGACAGGACGCGACAGGACGGGGCACACGCGCCCCGAGCTTCGTGTCAGAACTTGAGCCGCGATCTCCGCCGCCGTATGCTGGGAGTGCCTCCGGGCGTCAATAAGCTAATTTTATCTCTACAGCACGCGATGCGCTTTGTTTTTAATTCTTGCGGGACGCGGCCCCGCCAGAGCAATGAACTTATCTTGTACCCAAGCCCGTGTTCGGGCTGCCGAGCAACGCGCGGCGCCGGGCAGGGCGGGCGGCTCGGGGCCGGCAGGTCCGTGCGGGAGCCCCGGGAGCGGCACCGGCGGCCCCGCGCCTCCACCTGCGGCCCGCCCGGCCCGCACCGGGGAGCGCCTCACGCGTCCCGCCGAGGGCTGCGCCTCGCCGGGAGCCAGCCCCGGGGGCCGGTGCCAGGCGGGAGCCCCGGGGCCACCGCAGCGCCCCGCGTCGAAAAGGGGAGAGCCCGGGCTAGCTCCGTTCTCCCCGAGGGAACGCCGAGTTCGCCCTGCCCGGCCGGTCCCGGCCGCCGCCCCCTCTCTCCCCGCGCCTACCTTCTGTCAAATTCCCCGGCCGCCCCCAGCGAGAGGCAGGACGCCAGGAGCAGCCGCAGGGAGAGCTCCATGGCCGGCGGGGCCCCGGGCGGGCGGCGGTGGCCGAGGCGCTCCCGCTGCCGGGCGGGCGGGGGTCCGGCTGCCTCCCAGACCGGCCGCGCTGCCACAGCTCCGGGACGGCGGCGAGCTCGGCGCCCTCCCTTTCCCTCTCCCGATCCCTGCCCGCCCGCCTGGCTGCCAGGCGGAGGAGGCGCGGCGCGGGGAGCGGCAGCGCCGCCCGACCCCGGCAGAGGCGCCCGCGGCCCGCCCGGGGCCGCCTCCCCTGCCAGGGGCACCTGGCGAGCGTGGGACACCTGGGGCGGCAGAGAGCGGCAACGAGCCCCAGCTGCTGCCGACAGCGAGGCACGAACCGCGGTCTGGGGGCACTGAGAAGGGTGGGCTTCCTTGTCATGAGCTTTTGTATCTCGAACTTCCTGAAGGAAGATGGTTACGCCCTCCTCTCGGCAAAGCTCCCGTCTAAAGGCAAGAAGGTTATGATTTGGCCTTCTTTTACCAACAAAACCTTCCCAACAACAAAGCTTCTTTTAAACACTTACAAGGTGGATGTGGTTTCTTCTGTCTCAAACACTCCTATTAATAGCTCTCAGGTGTGACATCAGGTGTCCAGCCCTTGTCCAGAAGAACAAGTGACAAGTTTAAACACTAACTACACAGCATGCAATGTGCTTGCACTGCTACTGACAGCAATGACTGCATCTGTACTCACCACTAACATGTTAAAATACAGCCCTTATTTTTGTTTGGTTTCTATGAACTACGGCTTTGGGACTTACCAAAGGACACTTCTAATAGCAGCCTGTCACCAGTTTAGGGTCAGAGTTGTTCTGAGATCTCTCTGATTACAGACAGCTGGGGTCAAGCACTGGGTCTGGGTTGCAGCATTTGTTTAAATTGTGCCCACATCAAGGCTAAAGCTCATCAGCTGTTCCTACAAGAGTCTGGCTGTAGCTTAGAGGCAGAAAACAAGGATTGTCTCTGGATTGTGCTATAACACAAAGCCAAACCCTTCAGAAAGCAGTTGTATGCCAAGCATGACTTAAAGTTTCAGATTTCAGCTGGTAGCTCTGTGCAGAGCGTTTTCCACCCTCAAAACACTTCACAGATAATTCGAGTTATACTGCACAAAGGTGGCCATTTTTTGCACAAGATACAGATTGTGCTAGTAAGCCTTCAAAAATTACACCTTTTCTCAGAATTACTTTAGCACTTTCTGCTCACATTTGAGCAGAAGACCCCCTCCAATGCTCCTTCCCCTCCTTTTTTCATCTTTTCATGACCCTACAATCCCCAAGATAAACTTTCTGTCCACAGCATCAGCCCAGAACTTTTCAGACACAGAGAAAAAACACTTTAGAAGCTGAAGGGAATGATTCTGCAAGGTGCTTGTGCCTGTGCTCAGATAACATGCAAGCCCTCCAGAGGACTCAGGTATAAAAACTGCACTGAGGACCAAGCCTGGTTCTCTCCATTCACATGAGAAGCTGATAGCCAAGCAGTGAATGCAGTGACACGGGGCTGTTTGGGAAAGACAGAAGAGCATCTGGCTTGCGTTAGATCCTTGCTGAAATATAGAGCTGATTGCCAACTCCTGACTGATTGATAATTGTTTTCTTTCACTTGGATGTGTGATGTGGTGTAACAGACCATGCATAGTGAAATCACTGTCAAGATTTAATAGGCAAAAGGGGATATAACCTATTTGTGATAAACACTAGGATTTCTTTCTGGCAACAGCATCTGCATTTGCCTTTCCAACTTGAAGGAAAAAAAAAAGTGTACACAAATTACACCACTGCCAAGTCCAAGACAAGTGCCAAAAACAACATTTGAACATCATTCTGAATTAAGGTCTAGGGCAACCTGACACTTTCCCTCTCATGTCCAAAGGGACATGTCATGAAATCAATTCCTTTAATGCAATGCTGCATAATGTTACTTAATGTACACCGCAACTTTAAAGCACACGCTATTCCTTTAAAGCATGTTCACTCACAGATGGCAGTAAGATCATTTAATCTCTCCAGACTGCACTGAGTATTTAAGACTTCCTCAGCAGCCTGTTTGGCTCTCTTGTATGTTAATACTAGTGTGCTGGTCAGACATGGTGCCTACTCTAATTAAGATTGTCTGCATTTGGTTGACTTCTGCTGCCTTTACAATTTGTTTTGGAACATCAACCCAAAAAAACAGTTAACCAGTCACTCAAAGATCACATATTACACTTCCATACCCATCAGTGGAACTGAACATCCACTCACTTATGAATTCATTTGTTTTGGCAATGGTTCATCATGACTAGTGGTGTTCTCCTAGCAGTTAAGGCAGTTTCTCATATCCATGACAGTAGGAGGATTACTGAGTGAGCTGTCAAAGAACCAGATCTCTTGATGAGTTAAAGGTGTATTAAGTTGTGTGGGTATGCCTCAAGATACTATATAGAAGATGGAAACAGAGAAGTTGTTAGCAGTATGACAATAAAAAGCACTTTTGTGCCTTATGTTTAGTGAAGCAGTATGAAAGTCTGGCAAAATGCTGATGCCATGGGGTGGCCTGATCTGATGTAAAGCAAGACTCAGCTAACAATAGAAGTCCAGCAGCTGTGCATCAAGCCCTCAGATGTTTGACTGGAACAAGTGTCCAAGCAGGTTTCTTTAAAGTTACTGGTAAGACACTTGGTTAAGCATAACACGATAGTCAGGTTTTTAGCTGCAAATTAGCAACAATAAAGCAAACAAAGATAGTATTTTGGATAGCAATGTTTCTATCCTTCTATATATGAAGTCAAATCTCATAGGAAGGTGAATTTGACTGAAAAAGTGTTCATTTAATGTAAGCATAGTGATCCTTCCTGTTTATTTTTTTTACTCTTCTCCATTCCTTGATAATTATCTTTATGTGTCTTGTGCCAAAATAGCCACACTATCAGTCATGATCTTAATCTCAGACTTCTAGTCTCAGCGGTATATTGAGCTCAGATTGAGACAATTCTATGCAAATCAAGACTCTAAACTTGGTAAGATACACTGTGTCGAGAGCAGAGGAAGAGTTGAAAATACTTGTAGCTGAAAAAACTTGCATCTGACCATGCCATTAGCAAGCCCATTAGGTTCTGAATTATCTGTAACTTCTGAGGGAATCAAGTCTCAGGTACACATTCTATTGCTGTATTCTGCACCATAAGTGATGAAGGCACATCTGACTGCACACAAATCTGAATCCTGGTGATAAGGCAGCAGAGAGTGAAGAAATGCTTTGAGAGAGGGGCTTGCTAATTCTGCTGCAGGGAGGGTAAAGGTGGTGAGAGCAACTGCTGCTTCTAGAACAGAAAGTGTGACACAGTGACATCTGGGACACTGCAGTTTAAGTACACATGGGGGAACGTGTTCAGTGCACTGCTCAGGACAGTAGTGATGTTTCAAAAATCCACAACAGTACAGTGCAGAGTATGTTTGCAGTGTGTACTCCATTAAAAAATCAAGAATCTCTGTCATGAGCCATACATGTAACTGGTAACACAAGGAACATCAACTAAAAACACGTGTAAACAGGAAACCCAGTTCTAAGGAAGACAAGCTTATTTGCAGTTTTGTCTAGAGAAATGAACCTTGTGTGCTTGGGATCTGCTCCTCTCTTAACAGCACTACTTACTTTTACTTCACCTGAGGTAGGCTGTGCCCAGAAGTCTGTGTTCCAAACTTCTGCTGCAGGATGAACTCCAGGGTTTTTTATGTTCTTTGTTGCTATAACCATTCCCAAGGGGGAAAACTAACAGAACAGAAACAGTTTCCAGAATACTCCCTGGCATCATCTGGCCAGGCAATATTAAAAAAAAAAAGAGCTGAAAAGATACAAGTGGCAGATATTTTAGGCTGACAGATATTGGTACATATGGTAGATGACAGAATATGGTAGATATAACAGAAATCACACAGAAAGAAATTTAACATTTATCTTCATTGTTACACATACCTATGAATTGGACATAAACACACCAATAGAAGATTTTGCTTTCAGGGTATTCTACTGCCAACTAACTTTTCTTTGAGGAAGGTATTAAATAAGTTCTTTCGAGTCCATTTTCCTCATATTGACTTCCTCCTTGTCTTAAAGCACATTATGAATGTTAATAAATCAAGTCCTCTATTCAGCAGAATCAGTCAATAACACTGCCACTTACATAAGCAGAAATTAGGGAACAGAAAAATTACTTTTCCACAAATCAAATAATCTGTCATCAAATCAGGAACAGATCTCCTGTTTTTCAATTTCATACTTTAACCACAAATCCATCCTTCCTCTTTTCTAGGTATTTCACTCTCGTTGAGGCTGAGAAAGTTGACCATAAATCCCACATTATCCCAAGTCACTAAATCACACCACAACTTGTGTAAAAACCACTTGATTTGCAGTTAATGGCAAGCAGGGTTACAGTCTGCATTTGTGCTGTTAATGTAACAAGGATAGTTCTTACAAAATGGAACAGAAGGAAAGAATCCAAGTCCAAATTTCCTATAAGACCTTCAATGGCACTACTTTTCCTCTGGGGCTATGCAATTCTATGGTATATTTAAAAGTAAAATTTATTAAGTAAATATTATCTCCGTCACATGGCACATAAAAATCTCTATGACTCCCATGCTAATAAGAAAACTATAAGGTATCAAGGAAATACAGCAATTCAATCAGCTAAATCACTCTTATACTCCAGCTCTCTCTTAGTAAACCTTCTTGAAAGGGTAAGGAAATCATTCAGCCTGTCAGACACTGTAGTATCCAATTACCTTCTATGCAGATAAACCCTGTGCTTTGGATACCAGTTCAAAAGCGTCCATATGCTTTTTCTGCATGAAGTCTTCCAAATTAATTTGGTTTTTTCCACATATACTTGATCCTTCTTTAAACACTATGAGTAGTATTTGTGTTGAAGTTTACTGCATTTCATTACAGTGCAAAGAAGTTCTCTTCCCCTGTAAATAAACAATAATTTGCCTTTCAAAACTCTGTAAAATTT